GGACTCCCGAGTTCCACTCTTCCACCGGAGTCGATCAAGCTCTCCCCTTCACCACAGCGCAAGAGCAACCCTCGGGGAGCTTGAAGAAACATAAACGACGAGCTGAAGAACAAGATCTTTAAGGCTTAGACCGGCACTCGCGACCCATAAAGTTGGCCACCGTCTAAACAACGTCCCGTCGGCCACCCCAGGGCACGGTGTTCCCCCACAGACGAAACCCTCAACAACCCCAACAACTGCAACTTGGCATGCGCATGTGGGAAGGTCAGTTAACAGCGAGCCGGTGCGCTGTGTGAGAGGTCGTGACTGACACGCCTGCTTGTCCTCAGCCTGAGGTTGCGGCTTTCTCGAAATCTCTCACGAAGAGAGCGCCAGCGAGGCCGCCCCCTGTCCCACCAAAACCTGCTGTCGCGTACATGGCCACCCTCAGCCACTTCGACAACGAAGACTACAACATGAGCTACCCAGAGCCACCCCACTACTCAACAACGATGGACCTTGGTCTCTCGCCCGAACCATATAGCGCCTACCCACGGTCCGCGCACGACTACCCGACGACGATGGGGTACGAGAACGGCACCGTGTACGCCGAGGCACCATACATGTACAGCAGCGGGAGGGCATCGCCGGGCACGTACGCGGACGACAGCGACGCCGTGCGCGGGCCCGCTTCGGACCTAAGTATCGCGAGCGCCTCATCATCCAACATGGGCTCACCGCTGTCAAGCCACGGGCACATGGCGCCAATTCCCTGAGTGGGCCTCGGCACCACACGGACTCGGGGTAACCCCGAGCATCGTCGACCAGGCCGATTATTTTCCCGGCGAGTACTCTTTCACGCCGGGAGCAATTGAGGCCTTCAACCCTCCTCCCTACGACTTCCCGGTCAGCAAAGCGCCAGGATTTGTCGGTGAGTTGTCACAGGTCCCTAGGTCTTCTTGTCTCTCTCCGCGCCCGCCCAACCACGGCGGGCAGCACGCCCGGGCCCCTCGTGCCTCCATTTCTCCCTCTGTTTCTTGCCATTCTGGCCATTCTGGATCCACTATTGTCCCCCTCAAATCATCATCATCACCCTCCAGTCCCGGTCTGGCCCTCGACACACGCCTGGCACGGCAGGCTTCCATGTCTGTGTCTGCTGCTGTTGCTGCTGCTACTGCTGCATCATCCCTGGCATCCACGCCGGCGTCTTCCGCGGTGACTTCAGGTCTCCTCCTGACGCCGCCCACTACTTCTGCTGTCTCTTCTTCCTCTTCGTCTTTCTCGTCTCGCTCCGCCTGGAGCAGCCCGCCCGTGGGTTGCGGTTCTCCGGCGCCCCGCAGCACGCCCAGTTCTCGCTTGGTCTCTTCTTTCTTTTCTCAGTCTAGCGGCCATTTCGTTCCTCCTCTTGAATCTTGTTGGTTTCCTCTTGTCGCCACGCGAAACCCCACCGCACGGCCCTGTTTTGCTGACATGATCCCCGTTCGCGCAGATCCCTCTCTCATCCACCCAGACGTCAGGCCCATGGCGATGCCCTATGAACCGTCCTACCCGGCGCCGCCCAACTCGGGCTACCCCACCTCGCCCGCTCTCTCGGTTTCCGCGTCGCCTCAGCTCCGGCCCGGCAGCACCTCTCCATTCATGCATAATAGTAATTACCAGCCCTACTCCCCGTTCCAGCCTCCCGTCGATCCCCAACGCCGCGGGAGCCTCGTGTCGTACCAGTCCAACTTCTCCGGCGAGCAGCCGTTCAGCGGCGACGAGTCAAGGGAGAAGCAGCGATGCCCCCACCCGGACTGCGGCAAGGCCTTCAAGGACCTCAAGGCGCACATGCTTACGCATCAAACCGAGCGGCCCGAGAAGTGCCCTATTACGACGTGCGAGTACCACGTCAAGGGCTTTGCAAGGAAGTGAGTATTCCAATTACTCTGCTAGAGTTGCATTTCAGACTCCAGTATATCCTAACTATGCGCTCCCACAACAGGTATGACAAGAATCGCTACACCCTCACCCACTACAAAGGCACCATGGTGTGCGGCTTCTGCCCGGGCTCCGGCTCCGCGGCCGAGAAGTCGTTCAACCGGGCCGACGTGTTCAAGAGGCACTTGACAGCCGTGCACGGCGTCGAACAGACCCCGCCCAACAGCCGGAAGAAGGCGGCGGGTGCCACCAACGGCAGTGCGAAGCTTACCGGGTACGCGCCCGACGCGACCGGCAAGTGCTCGACATGCTCGCAGACCTTCAGCAACGCCCAGGACTTCTACGAGCATCTCGACGACTGCGTGCTGCGCATCGTGCAGCAGGAGGACCCGGCCGAGGCGATCAACGCCCAGCGGCTGGCCGAGGTCGAGAACGACCGGGACGTGCACAACACGCTCGAGAAGAACCACCTCCCGACTACCACCATGACCACCACCGAGGATGCCGACGAAGACGACGAGAACATGGACGAGGACGAGTACGACGACGAACTCAAGGGCGGCCGCGGCGGCAAGGGGTCGCTCTCCTCCCCGAGGCGGACCAAGGGCGGCAACCCCATCAACGGCGTGCAAAAGTCGCGCGGTCTCACCCATTCGCGCGGCGGCGTCCCGCTCCAGAACCCCAAGAGCCGCGGCCGCAAGAACAGGCGCGACTACCCTTCCTCGTGGGGGTTCGACAAGGGCCAGATGACCATGAAGAAGCGGGTCATGGCCGTCTTTGACGGGCAGCGCCGCCTGGCCAAGGACGACATGATGCTGTCGACCGAGCAGGAGGTGCGCATCAAGCTCCAGGACGGCAAGTCGTATGTCACCGACCTCGACATGCAGACGCTCAAGCGCGCCGAGGGCTTCCTCGGCGCCACCGACGAGGAGAAGGGGCCGTGGATCTCGGACGACCCGACCGAGGAGCAGCTCAAGCAGATGCTCGAGTACCCCGAGCCTCCGGTTGCCACCGCGGCGCAGTGAGAGAAAAAATACCCAAACTCCCCCCACACCGAACTCGCCCTCGATGATGAAGAAACACACCAATCTCCCCGCTTTGATACCCAAAACACCTACCATCATACTATACAACAACCCATCCTCCTGTGACATAATAGTTACAACTTGTACTTAATATTCTTGACCTCTTTTTTTTTTTTTTTTTTTTTTTTTTTTTTTTTTTTTTTTTTTTATCCCCACGCTCTCTCTTATTCCGGCGAACCACATTGGACACGGGCTGGACTGCATCAAATCAAAGTCAAATACAACAACGAGTCTCTGGCGGCGCGTTTGGGCGGGCGGACTGGATGTGGATTCAATACATTGTGGCGTGGCGGGACTTTGCTCGTTTTTTTTTTTTTTTTTTTTTTTTTTTTTTTTTTTTTTTTTTTTGGCCTCTTATTCTTTTTTATTTCTCTATGTCTTATGTCTTCTCCTTCCTGTGCACCTTCAGACTTGGGAAAAGGGACGGATCTAATAATGATTGAATGATTAACTATGGGCCGGGTTTCGGGCGGACGGCGGGTTAGCGGGACTGGGACCGGCGAGCGGATACAGGCTAGGAGCGTTTCTACAACCTTTTTACTTGTCTTCTATTTGAGACCTTACTATCCTTCCTTCTGTGTTTTTTGTTTGCTTCCTTCCTCTTTAATCACCTGCTTGCTTTGACTGCGAAGCGGTGGAAAACGATACCCTGTCTCATCACCATCCTACTACTAGTCGCGTTTACGTCTGTTGCTTTGGTTTGTCAAGAGTTTTCGGGCGCTGAACGATATGGGACGGAATTGTTGGATTAATTTGAAAGTTGTGCTCTCTCCTTCTCTGACTTTGTGAGAGCTGCTAGAGATATAGAACCGTGTTAAAATGAAAAAGGTCACTCATCCTAGGTCATTGGCTCAATTGTGACGTGATATGTGACGACCTCTGACTCCTTGACTGAGATCTTCCGATGAGATCAATGATGATCTCCCTCCAAGCTCAGCACCGTCACATCGCCCGCCCCACTCGTTCGAAGGGTTCTTGGCTCTCTGAGCTTCGGTGGGGCTGAATCGACGTAATAAGTTCGTGTAAGTCGTTGCATGCGATTCGGACGATAAGTCGGTTTTGAGAAGACGACGGATCGCTCAACACCGCAACGGGAGGAAGACACCGAAAATTTCGTATCAAAAATGAAGCACTCGGCAATTACTTACCGCGTTCCATACGTACCTTACATGTCCTGTGTCACGCCTCGGACAATGGTCGCTACCCCACCTTAGACATCTCTCTCCGCGCCGTCATGCTCTCTTTCCCCTTTTTTTTTTATCTTTTTCTTTTTGTGGCTTCCCGTCTCTTATATTCCCGCGCTTCATCATAACCTGCGGTTGTAATCCACCTATTCACAGTCGGTTCGCTTCCCCCTGGACAAGTGTCGGGTAAGAAAAAAAAAAAAAGTTTGATGGCCCTCACTCACCGGCTCACCCTCACTGGCCCGGACCCCACCGACCCCGAAGGTACGTCAGACCTCGCACCTTTCACCCCCCACGGCTCGCGGCGGCTTGTTAGGCGTATTCAATACCCGCGCCCCATTCGAATACCCCATCGGAAAAAAAAGACAAGCCCTGACATCACCGGGGGCAGATTTCCCCAGCAACTCCCTGGGCGTCATCTTCCCCGACGACGTCACCAACCAGCACGGCGACGCGGACCACGGCCTGCTGTACACGTCCCCGCACCTCCCACAGCCCATCCCCATCGCGCTCGCCGATATCCAGCTCGAGTCGGACCGTGTCTTGTGGAGCCACTGCTTGTGGAACTCGTCGCTGCTGCTGGCAGAGCTCATCGAGGCGGGAACGCTCGGGTTAGCAGAGGGCGGCGATCATGGTATTCCTTGGGACGGCCGGTTTGCGCCGCCCTTGAAGGGGTTCGATGTTTCCGGCCGGAGCGTGATGGAGCTGGGCGCCGGCACGGCGCTGCCGTCGATCATGGCGGGGTTGTTGGGTGCGAAGAAGGTCGTGGTGACCGATTACCCGGCCCCGGCGGTCTTGAAAACCCTAAAGGCCAACGTCGCTGCGTCGGTGAATAAGGAGTTCGCGCCGGCCGGGAGGTTCGCGGTGGAGGAGGTGTTGGCCGGGGCCCATGGATGGGGTGAGTTGGACACGCCGCTTGCGCTCGAGAATAAGCATGCCATTGATCGGGTGATAGCCGCGGATTGCTTGTGGATGCCGTGGCAGCATGAGAATCTAAGGCAGTCGGTCTCGTGGTTTCTCGGCCAAGGGGAGGACGCGAGGGCGTGGGTCGTCGCTGGGTTCCATACCACACGGGATGCAATGCGTACGTTCTTCGAGAAGGAGGCACTCGCGGCGGTCGGGCTTGAGGTGGAGCATATGTGGGAACGTGACTGCGACGGGCAGGACCGTGAGTGGGCCTGGGACCGCGGTATTGAAGACGTGAGCCTGCGGAAGCGGTGGTTGGCAGTGGGTGTGTTGAAGAGGTTACGGAAGCCTGCCGGGGAAGGTGAGGAGGGGCTGTGATCAAGGCGAAAGGGAGACTTCGGTCGAATTTTGTCCAAGTGCGGTGGATTTCGGGTGTGTGTAGCTTAGCTCAGCGACCTCTCAGGAGACGCCGAGGAAGGCGAGGGGGGGTTCCCGTGCCCTTATAGACATGACCCAAGCCATTGTGGCATTCAACGGTGCTTCAGCTGATGCATGGTTCGTTCAGCTCAAACGACGACCTTAACTCAATTGGGCAACGCTTGACCCGCGGCGTCCACGCTGATTCTGCCATGACCATGTAAACGGACCAACCCGGCCCCATGCTTACACCAACTGACCATCTCCCGCGCAGCAGCTTAGCCTGATGTGGTCGAGAGAAGCGAGTTCAAAGTCCGTGATACTGCCGGACACCGGTATCTTGGGGTGTTGGACAACCGGGGGGGCCAGACATTACTCGATTTTAGCAGCGGAATCATCATGCACGAAGGGCCCATCTTCGTTACCTGCTCGATCCTCTCTTCTCCATCATGGGTGCATGAATGATCCGCAAGGGATGAATGGTAACCTAATAACCAACATCCATCAGTTATTACAAGTCAGCAACCTCGCTTCTCCACCCGAACCCAGCGGGGCTGCTCTGGTCAAGCATGGTCATGCCGGACGCTCTGCATATTTCGACGACCACACTGCGCACAGCCTTGACTTGCTCAGCCGTGGCACCGCCATTGAGAGCACCCCTGAGATGACCCTTGAGCTGGGGATTCACATCCTGGGGTATCAAGCCGGCAATCATGACGAACGAAGTTTCGGCAGCGCTGAGCACGCTAGTGTTGCTCAGGACATAGCCATACATTAGGCGCGCCACCAGCCCAAGGTCTTCTGTCCCGGAACGGTCCATCTGACCCATGACTCTTTTCGTGATCTTGCCATAGATAGCTTCGAAAAAACTTTGACCGCGCTCCATGATTTCGGGAGCAGGTGTGTTGTAAATGTCGCCGCGCCGGCCGGTGGGAGAGGAGTCTTCAGGCTCATCAAGCTGCTCTTCTGGCGTCACTTTTTTGAGCTCGAGCAGCGCGTTAATGGTCTGGAATTGGAATCAGCCAAAGATCTCAAGGAAAATCGGCAGAAGAATACGAAGCACTACCCTCGGAACACCGCCAACTGCGGCGGCTTTAATCAGGGCTTCGCGTATACGGCGAGAGACACGTATCTTATCATCATCTTGGCTCGGTGTACCATCGTCTGGGCCGTGGCGCAATGCGTATTGATAAACTTTGGAGATCTCATCGGGCCGGTTCAATTGAGCGAGCGTTGTGGCTGCAATAAAATACCAGGTGTGTCTTGGCAGATTTGGATGATTGCGGATGGATGAAAGGAGAACGGGTGTGATGATGGCGGGCAGTGAACCCATGGCGCTTGTCAAAAAATGGTATTCAATAGTTTAAAATGAGATTGGAACAACTTGCACAGAATTTGGAAGCTGAGTTATTCCGAAGTACCTTATTTATTTCCCTTAAATGTGAAGAGGCAGGAAGAACCAAGGCTCACAGCTCAGGAGGTTCTTGCTGATGATGTTCCTTGCAAGCTGCACCGCCACTTCCATATTTGCTTATACCTCCGTTTGACGCTAAGTTGTCCGTTTGATGTTACCCATTTGATGTTAGTTATACTGAAACAGGCAAAGTGTGGCTGATATACCCCACATGCTGCGTCACCCCGTTTTGGCAGCCCACTCAATGTGTACGGATCCATACGGAGAAGTCACTTCGACTGTTATAACGTGGCAACAAGCGAGACAGGGCCATCATCTTCCACGCCGCATCCCACCTTTCGCGACCCATTGCCATTGTCTCGGGCGCAATGGACACTTGACCCCCCCATCACCATACCTGGATTTTTTTGCCCCGAATTAGCATTTCCACAACAGCCCGCCGATGAAGATGCGGCTCGCGTGGTACGCAGGGGTAAGTTGTCCCGCTGTAATAGCTCCTGTAGTGTTGTTGTAGCTTTAGCTGCTGCGCCGAGAGCTCGAAGCCCATCTGAGACTCCCCCACGATTCCCGCATCACCATGTCAAAAAGCTAACATTTATTTCCTTCCTAGGCCTCTACGGCTCTCGCGGCCGCCGTGGTCGCGTCCGCCTTTTATCAGCGTGCCAATTTCTACTCGGCCATGGTGCATCTCGCCCAGAGCAGCCTATCCCTAATGGTCCGTTTGCTCCGACCCCTCCCCGAGCCATCCGTTTGCATTCCCGACCACTGGCAATGGACCACTGACAAGGAATGGGCAATGCAGGTTCTGGTTAACCTCATATTCGTCGTCTACGGATCCCTCATGTACGCTCTCCAGCGCCTCTGCTTCGGCCCCCTTCGCCCCACCGAAATCGAACAGCTTTACGAAAAGGGTTGGTTCGCCGTCACCGAGACATGCCTGGCAATGACCATCTTTCGCGACGAAGTCGGCGCCTTCTTCCTCGTTATGTTCACGGCCCTCGTCACCGGCAAAGTCTGGGGTTGGATTGGAGATGGCCGTGTCGAAGTCCTCGAACAACAACCCCCCGCGAACCCGCTCCTCTTCCACGCCCGCCTCAGTCTCTCGTTGTTCATTAGTGTTGCCTACGACATCTGGCTGCTCACCTACGCCGTTGACGCCGTGGTGCAGGAAGCCCGTCCTACTATGATGGTCATGTTCCTCTTCGAGTTTGCCGTCCTGACCGTAACATCCCTACACACGGTCGCCCGGTACGTCATGTCGCTGGTGGAGCAGCGTGTTATCAAGACCCAGACGCACCAGCGCTTGGAGGGTCGGCGCCGCCAGATCAGGGAGCAGCGTGCCGAGATCTTGAGACGGAGAGAAGCCGAGAGGGCAACAGACGAAAACGAAGAGCTGCCGGACGAGAACGATGTTGATGAGATGGACATCGAGGTGCCTGGCTGGGAGGCAAAGGGACAGTGGGTCTTATCGCTGGACTTGGTTGCGGGTAGGTCGATTGACACTCTGCTGAGACCGGATAGGGGCGCTAACTTTGATCATAGACTTTATCAAATTCGGGATCTACACGGCCTTCTTCTGTGTCCTGATGAGTTTCTACGGCCTCCCTATTCATATTATGAGAGACTGGTTCATGACGACGAGGTCGTTCCTTAAGAGACTCCATGCTCTCATTCGCTACCGCCAAGCCCTGAAGCACATGGAGCAGTACCCCGACGCTACCGCGGAGGAGCTTGGCCGAGAGGACACCTGCATCATCTGCAGAGAGGAAATGCGACCCTGGGATCCCGCCGATGCCTCTCATGTTGAGCGAAGCCGGGCAAAGAGGCTTCCTTGTGGTCATATTCTACATTTCGGCTGCCTCAAGAGCTGGTTGGAGCGGCAGCAGGTGTGTCCGACGTGCCGGCGCCCGGTTGCCAGGGACGGACAGCAACCGGTCGCCAACGGCCCGGCTGGGGTACTTGGGCTCTTCCCTGCGGGCCAAAACCGTCCGCTTCAGCCGCCGGCTAACGGCCAGGCAGCCCTCGGTGGCGGCGGCCAACCCGCACAAGCAGGGCCAGCGGCCAATAACGCGAACCCCAACGTCAGAATGTTCAATCTCGGTCCCATTAGGTTAGGCTTTGCTCAGGGCGGAGCCGACGAAATTCGGGAAATGGCACAACGGATGCGGGCCCCCCCAGACGCCGTAAATCCACCTGTGCCAACACCCACCGTCCCGACACCGCAAGAAAACAACGTAGGCTTAAACCCGGATCTCGATCAGCTTCGTGGGCAACTCTTGGCGCTGGGCAATCAAGTCCGGCAAGAGTTGGTCAACACGCAGAACACAGCGCACGAGATACTGGTTTTGAGTCATCTATTGAACGAAATCGCCCGTCTCCGTCAATTACAGCAGCAACCGCCGCAAGGCCAACAACAGCCAACACAACTAACACAACCAACCGCCTCAGGTGCTCTCCTTGGTGGACAGCCACCTTTACAGCAACATCAACAGCAAGCTCTGATACATCCTTTTATGCTCCCAGCAATGCAGGGGCCCCTTCAGGTCCCGAATTCCCCGCACCTTGTGGCTGCCAGGCACCCACCCTCCGTCACAAGGCATGTCGGCACTGGGTATGGAGCGGCCATTCCGGCGGGGAGTTCCGAATTACCAGACGGGGTTGTTATTCCCCCGGGTTGGTCGTTACTCCCCCTCCAACGATTTGACGGCGAAACACAGCCATCTGAGCCCGCACACCACACTCAGGGGGTCGCACAAGACATGCTGCGGTCCGTGTTCGCACACCACCCCCGATCCCGGGGTACCAGCCCAGCCCCCAGTAGCACCCTTTCTACACAGGTTGGAAGGGCCGCCGCGCCAACAAGCAACGCCGCAGAAGCATCTCGACGGCCGGGTTCACAGGGTGGCACATCTTCAGACACGGCTACCCGCAGGCAACCTCCGGTGGCGGCACCCATTCCTCTGACGCCAAATTGGGGGGGGCCCGCGCAGCTCTTTGGCGGCGACCGGGCGCCTGCACCCATGTTTGGATACCAAGTTGAGCCGCGCCAGGGTCCACACGGCGAGCCTGGGGAAGGTGGTGGTGATGGCTCAGCGGCCAACGCGTCCATGGTGGTGAACGGAGTCGCTTCTGGGGAGAGGAGCGGTGATCAACGAACAGAGGGTGCCGCCGATGTGAACGGGAGTAGCGGCGATCGACGTCCCAGACCTGTGACGGTAGAAGAGGCAGATGATGCCGAGGACGAGCGATAGATATTATCCTTTGGGCTCTGTTAGAACTTTGTCTGTTTATTTGTTTTTTTTCGTCAAGCGAAGCACAGGACAGCCGTGCACGGCGTTGGTTTAGGTTTGTATTCTCTAAATGTAATCCATCCTCCTTGAGTGATACTTGGGTTCGGAAGTTTGAGATGTTATCCTTCAAAGTGAGCGACAGACGCATGGCCTGACCAGGAAGACAACCCGCATGTTGTATCTTCGGGGGGAGAATTACCCACCTACGTTCTTGCCATTCCAAGGGCAATCGAAGAGGTCAGAGCTAAAGTATGGTAGTTGCGGTCAATGCAACACGGGAAGGCGAACACTATCCCCCGGCCGGTGTGTCTCTGGCTTCTCTCGCAACCCCATAACAAACAAATTGCCTTATCATCCAACTCGTTGACGTAGAGGCAGCAATATCGTTGCCAGCTTCTTAAACTATCCAGTTAACGCTTTCGACATCACATACTGCGTAGCTACGTGGCATCCTTAGAGCAGACGGTCTAGCCGTTCCTGCCTCCTTCATCTCTACGATCCAGGACCGGAGACTGCCATGTCGAGCTTGAACAAGATGCTTTCTTCGACGCATTCCAGCACCGGATATCCCACTAGCCGAGCGCCATCCCGCCGCGCCTCCATCATCAACTTTTTCAAGCATCGCAAGAGCAAGGACCACAGTCAAGGCTCGACCGAGCTCCTTCAAGCACTAGAAAATCCAGCCGCCCACAGCAGCCAGCAACGGACTCAACCACACCCCCGGCGCCTTCGACGCCACCACTCCGAAGCGCCAGCCCTCGACAACAATCTCACCCTCGACGTCCACCCCCTACCACTCAGAACCAAGCACCAACCACCACCACGCCCGCCCCCGCCTCCACAACAACAGCAACAACAACCCTGCCACGCCAACCCGTCAGACACCGAGCTCGACCCGTCAACAAACCCAGCCGCGCCGAGATCCTCCCCCAAAGCCACCACCACCGTCACCACCGCCGCCACCACCACAGGCATCAGCTCAGCCAACCCCAGCAACCCCAGCAACCCCAGCAACCCGAACAACCCATCCCTGGTATCCGCCGCACTGTCCCTTTCACTTCCACGACCACGACCACCACCACCACCAACAACCCTCCCATCACACCCCTCGCCGCCCACTCCCCCCGCTCGGACGACCTCCTCGAGAGCGTTCAACCCGCGGGCTAGTCTCAGGGCGGTGTTGGGGCGGTTTTCGTGGTCGGGCGTGTTGAGTGAGGAGGGGGAGGGTGGTGGTGGTAAGGGGGTTGGGACTGGTACTAAGTGGGGAGGTAGTCAGGATGGGGGTGGGTCGTCGTCTTGGGGGAGCTGGAGTCGTCATGGGAAGAAGAAGGGGGAGGAAGGGAAGGAGAAGCGGAAGCGGTTGCGGAAGGGTGGCCGGAAGGGTGGCGGTGGTGGGGGGAAGGAGGATCAGGGCGGTGGTGGTGGTGAGCCTGAGGATAGGGAGGCTGCTGAGAGGAGGAAGAGGGATGAGATAAGGGCTTTCAAGGCGAATGAGGCGGCGAGGATTATCAGGGCGTCGTGTATGGCTGGGTTGAGGATCCGGAAGCGGAAGCAGGTGGCGATGCGGATTCTGGAGCATGTCAGTGTGAATGAGCGGGAGGGGCGCGCGATGGATGGTTCGGCGGCGGCGGGTCGTGGCCGGGCGTATCGCGCGGAACAGGTTCGGAAGCTGGGTCAGTTCAGCGCAGATATTGACCCGTACCCGGAGCTGTACTGGCGTTTGTGGGGTGAGGATATACCTACCGGGTTGGAAATGAAGCCCGTTGGGGAGTTATGGGAGGGCGCCGAGCTGGAGCGGGTGGCAAGAGGATTGCCGTGTTTGGCCTGAATAGTGAGTGGCATGTCTAGTCCTGCTACCTTTTAGATATACAAGTCTTGAATTCCCCAATATCACCGACCACCCCATCATCATTGACAGGGACCGGCCTCGAACGGGAGACTGCTGAACACCTGGTGTTGTGGTGTTTGACCTACACCCTCCAAGATGGAAAGAGGAGGCAGCTGCTTGTTGTTTACTGTATGAGAGGATGATAAGATCCCATCTTGATTTGACCAGCAATTCACAACTGTTAAACCCCGAAACTCGACTACCTTATTTTCCAGGTTCTCAGAACAGGAGCCTTCGAATAGTAGTAGGGGCATACAAGTCAGCTCCTATTCGGTGCCTAGAAACAGAGGCCTGGGTGCCACCGCTAGACTTATATCTCAACAAGCGGCTGGCTGACTTCGAGGGCCGGCTACAGAAGCAGGCCCTACAATCAGGGGCTGGGCCGGAGGCTGAGAGAATAACCACGGGGCATCTAATCACTGAGGCCTGCAATAAGGTCTACCGAAGGTTCAACAAGAGGAGGAAAACCCGAGGCCGGAGGCCCCGTCAGGGCCCGCAGAGTCCCACGCCCACTGAACTGGCCGCTAGTGTAGTGGCCCAGTGGGTTAACTACAAATGGAAGATCGGGGGGAAGGATAGGGGGTCGAATACCAAGGAGGTGGTCGAACTGGCCTGGCAGGCCCGGTGGGAACAACAGAGAGCTGGTCAACAAAGTACTACTCGACAGAGGGTATTAAACAGGAGGATAGCCGACGAAGACCCCCCAGCCCTCTTGTTTACCGACAAAGCTCTGATGAGACACGAAGGTCTTACAAAGGCGCAGAGCTCCCTCCTTTCCCAGGCCCGTATCGGGGATATAGGCCTCCGGGACTACCTGTTCAGGGTGAAAGTCCCGGAGGTCCGCACCCCCTATTGCGAGTGCGGGAGAGGCAGGGAGACGGTGGAGCACTTGGTGGTTTGGTGCCCCGACCCGCCGTTACAAAGGCCGTGGGACGGCAGAGAGATTCGGTCACATCGGGACCTACAAACCGTATTACGGGGAGTAGGTGCCCGGAGCAGAAGATTTGTTAGGAAGGTCCTTGGCTGGCTGATGGACTCTGGCCGGCTACTGGAGTATAGGCTGGCCAGAAGGCTGGAGCTAGAAACAGTGGATGGGGAGGGCTAGAGGGCCCGGAGGCCGGCAAAGGGCCTCCTTTCTTTTGCAGTATGACGGATTCATAGATTGTTGTCTCAAAGTGGTAGACAGAGGTTTTTATCCGGCCTATACGGTACGGTTTCCTTTGTAAATAGCAGTAGAAGGACCGGCGCGCCCCAGGGCATATCGGTGTAGGAAATAATAATAATAATATTTTCCAGGTTCCTCTTCCTACTTTTCATCCTTCCCACTCCCCACTATCGTCTTCCACCCTTCACACTCTTTGAAAATCCATCACGTCTTTTTTTTTTTTTTTAGTTGTGCAACAAGCCGAAAAAAGCGATATAATGCGTTGTGCACTGGAGTATTTTGGCGCGCTCAGGTATCCTAAATCACACCCTCCCTACGCCATAAATTACAGCGACTGCTCTAGAAAGCATCAAACAGACAACTGAAAACCAAATCCCCCAGCTTTGCCTTTGAGAACCGTCTTGGGAGCCGTTGACAGAAGACCTTGGGTCAACCGCAAGTCGATCGCCTACAGCAGCACCGAGGCCCTTGTGAGGATCTATCCGTGACAAGCAACATCGCTGGCCGCTCATGGGTCGCTCTATATTTTCCTGGCTACTCTCAAAGGTATATCAAACCAGCCATTTCTTCTTATCTTTCCGTTCTCCCTCTCAATCGTTCGGGATTTCTCAAACTGAAGTGCTAGCTTACCAACCGCATCTTGAGGCGAACCCCGCAGCCGACCGCAGCCACGGACGCTCGCGACATTTCCAACACTCGCCTATATTTCGAGCTTCTCAACGGCCAGCGCCAGAAGCTGCTACGCAATGCCCGGTCCCTCGAGGGGCAGCGCCCAACAAAGCCCCCCCGAGACCTGGTCCTTTCTCGCTTCCAACTAATGGCATCTCAGAACGTGCCCACTGCTGCAAGGGGATGGGGAGGAGCCCTCCGAATGTCAAACCTGCCGCCGTCGTATCATCCGTGCGTCACGCCCTTTTCCGAGCTCAAGAAAACTATGATCGATAACTTGCTGCTCGAGACGCATCACCGGGGTACGTATATTCTTGTACGGTCGCTGACGCCCCAAAACCGGATGGTAGCTGTGATGGCCGTTGTAGAAGACGAAAAGGGCGATATCCTCCAGCTTCTATTGTACAACCAGGCCGACGATGGGGAGCCTTTTGTGCGTGAGGGTACTGTCATGATTCTGAAGGAACCGTTCTTGAAGACCATGTCGGACGGTAGCCACGGGCTCCGCGTGGATCACCTGTCCGACGTTGTGTTTCTCCCGGCCAACGATAAACGGATCCCGGTCGCATGGCGGCAGAAACCTAATCACAACGGCACTGCCCTGGCTTGGAAGGCGCAGGGCAGCAACCACTTCAATAAATCTGAATATCGGTCTGCGATCGAGTGGTAAGTTGGCGTAAAACCTGCCAAGGTACGAGGCTAACTTGGGTGTGGGTAGTTACACCCAGTCACTGACTTGCCCATCGACCCCAGAAGAAATGTGTACCACAAGGTTCAACCGGTCTCTGGCATTCCTTAAGGTCGGACGATACGATGCCGCTCTGTTAGATGCCGAGTTCGTGTCGACTACGACGGTAGCGGCTAGCAAGCTAACGGAGAAAGCGCGGCTCCGCAAGGCCGAGACGCTCTACGGGCTCGAGAGGTACCGCGAGTGTTACGAAGTGCTCAAGGAGTTCCAGCTCGACTATCCCAACAACGCGGCTGCCGAAGTCCAGCGAACCCGCGCTATCGCCCGGCTCGCCGAACAGAGGCACGGCAAGTACCACTTCAAGCGGTTGCATGCCGAGGCCGCCGAGCGAAGGCCGCCGTACCTGGACCACGCGACCTATATCGGCCCCGTCCGGGTTCAAAACGCTGGCTCCCGCGGGCGTGGGCTCTTCACAACCAAAGCAGTCAAGGCCGGCGATCTCCTCTTCTGTGAGAAGGCCTTCACATACGCCTTTGACGAGGAGAACGCTGGCACTGGCGACACCAAACTACTAATGGGCCATGACGGTAGAGCCATAATTGGCTTGCAGGTGGACCTAATTCACATGACCATCCAGAAGTTGCACCGCAACCCGTCATTCATCCCGGCCATCACCAACCTCCACCACGGCTCCTACCAAGCAGCCGCCACCACCCAAATCGATGACCAGCCCATCGTCGACACGTACGTTATCGTCTCTCTCTGCCTATCCCTAACAGATCAAACATTAACCCCCATCAGCTTTCTCCTCCACCACATCATCGCTATCAACACCTTCAGTAGCTCCACCACCACCCTTAGTGATCTCGCCACCCCCGGCCCAACTAGCCCCCACGCCTGCGGCATCTGGCCCCTCGCCTCATACATCAATCATTCCTGCCTCGGCAGCGTCTTCCGCTCCTTCATCGGCGACTTCCTCATCGCGCGCGCCACGCGCGATCTCCCCGCCAACGCCGAGCTCACGTGGTGGTACTATCTGCCCGACGAGTCGAGCGATAGGAAAGAGAAGATACGTCGGCAGTGGGGGTTCGAGTGCGATTGTGCGTTGTGTAAGGATGCGGAGCGTCTGTCGGGGGGGTGTGGCGAGGAGGAGGAGGAAGGGGTTAGTGGAGGGTATCCGACGGGCGGTGGAGGCGGGCTCGCTGGATGCGGTAGAGAGTGGTGTAGAGGCGCTGGAAGGGACCTACGTGCGGCCGGCGGCTGAAGTGCCGCGGCTGGAGGTGTGGGAGATTCTGTGGGAAGTTGTGGTGGCCGTGTGGGCGCGGAGGAGGACCGTGGCGGCGGAGCAGGCGGTCAGGCTGATGCTCGCGGCGCTGAGAGCACTGGGCTATGATATTGTAGGCGGGGAGCGGGGGACGGTGGTAGTTAGGGAGTGGGGGGTCGCGACCAGCGGCGCCGTCGAGTGCTGGCTGCTGCTGCGCGATGCCTATCGGGAGACGGCGCCGGAGCTGGTGGCGCCGGCTGAAGAGTATGCGCGTACGGCGTACCGGATTGTGGTTGGAGAGGACGAGACATTTGCACCGTTTGGGGAGGAAAGGGGAGTGAGCGGACGTTCTACTACGACGACTACGGTACGTCGGTCTCCATCAGTGGCAGCACGCCCCTTTGCTTCTTCCAAACTACCTGGCAGCTCGTCACCACCACGGTCGACGCCCATACCTTTGCCCCCAAGGCCAGCGGCTACATCGCGCTGGAAAAGGTCTACTCGCGTACCGCCATCTTAGGTGGCCACGGAGCCGAGCCCCCCCCCCCGACCCCCCAATCTCAGTCAAAGTGCCCATCGGCAAAGAAGCAGGGCAAATGGACAGTAGAGGAAAACCACCGGATTCTTATACTCCGAGGAAGTGGTATGACCTGGGACAACATCTCATCCTTCCTTCCGGGCCGGAGCTCCATTAGCTGGCAAGCTCCTACGAGAGGTGAGGCTTACCAGCCGCAACCGCTCCCCTCAATGGCTCAACGGCCAAAGTGTGAGTGGTCAAAGTCCCGGGCCCAAAACCGCTGGTGTCTCTCACCAAGAGCTCACCAACTCAAGCCGCCCCGGGCCATGCGAAGAATACGAAGGGGATTCAGCCTCTTCATCACCAACCGAAGGAAACCCCAAGAAGGGGTTTCGTAGCCTGCCACCTCCCTTCTCGAAGGGGCTGGCGGGTGGGCTTTTGCCCTTCTCGTTGACCGACGTCCCTTTGTTCTCTCAGCCATAAATACATACCTACATACCCTGGTGTGTTTGGTATTGGTTCTGTCTATTTGTCTTTGCTAGTCCTCAAATATGAATTGTAGTTTTCCAACAACCACCCCCCCTAGTCATCGCATTCTCGGCCGTATGTCGTCAATCCCCGCGCCCACATTGATCGTGAAGTTTTAAAGTCTCGAATCACACTCCTTCACCGGCCACAGAATTTGCTCGTCCTACCCTTTCAGGTAGATGTCAATTCTCACCCAGAGACGCGCCTCAAGGCAACCTGTGTTGCGGTGAAGGAAAACGACAACCAATGAGCAAAAGCCAATCTTCCAGAAAGGAGAAAAGGGGGGATAGCTGCTGCGCAAGGCTTTGCCCAGCCCCGTCGGCAACCAATCGAGCTTTCCCGAGCCCACGACTGGGTGTGGTGGCACAGCGTCAAATCCCGAGTTACATCAAATGCCGTCCGTCACTTGCCCTGCTTCCCGGCTGCACATTGGCCGCCTTCCGCCTTCTGCAGACAGACAGACAGGCAGGATGCGATGCGTCATATCTTCAAGAAGGAAAAAGGCAACTCTAAGCCAGGAAGGCTAAGTAGGCAGCCCTACACAAGTACGTCGTGCCGCAGCAGTGAGCCCGGCATCCACTGACCATGCCACCGCAGCCGCCTGATGTCGGTTTCTGCGAGACATGGGTGACAAGGTTGGAAAGGATGGTGGTGTGAGACGGGCTGTCGGGCGCGAGGTGCGGCACGAGAAGGAATGTGATCCGATGGATGATGACAAGGGGGCTTCCTCCCTCCCTGCCTTCAGCCCTCGAAGGCGCCGCCCGCATTCATGCACCTCTTCCTTGTCAGACATGCCGAGGCGCCCGGGGCAGTGGTACCGAACCGACGGTAATCGGCTGTAACATGACCGTTCTCCGTGGGCGTACCGGTACATACGATAGGGGAGGCATACATACACAACGGAAACGTCATAGACCAAACGGACGCTTCATCTCAAGATATATCTCATTACTATTTAGAGCGCAAAGTAAGAAGTGTATCGACCAGAAACCCGACCCAATGCCCGTGGTATCTCGACCTTACAAAAGGAGGAAATAGAACGCTCGCCGTGCATAAAGACCCAATCCTGGTTGCTGTAGTGCCCCTGGCTGTACCCAAAATACCCAAAAATCACAGACCCAACAAATGGACAGAAAACTTCCCAAAACAAAACTGTAGCTGTGCTCACCAACCCTGGATATCACTTTTGACTGCCCCATTCCAACTTGAACCGAAAGTTGCGCGCAAGTAATTCAAAAACAGGCCCCGAATGCTGGTGCCAATAAGAAGAAGAGAAATAAAAATGTAAAAAAAAAGAAGAAAAAAGGGAAAAAAAGGAAAAGTAAACAAAGGGGAGTAGCCAAGAAAGTGGTAAGGTAAAGTATGCGCTGCAGTGCAAAACAAGCTCCGGAACTTCCCGTCGAACGTCCAAAAACCATTCCGGGCACCACCCGCCGCCCCTATTCCAAGCTCTTAAACCGACATCGACCGTTCGGCCCTCGCCCCTGGATTCCTTATCCTCCGCCCCGCATCGCTCCTAACCGTCTGCCCCTCCCCGATAGCCGAATTCACGCCTCTGCCATCACTCCCCCCAAATCCACCACCCCCTTCACCACCACCACGCAAAGGCAGGAGAGGGAAAGGCGAAGGCGGCACTCCCCCACCAACCGGCCCACCCGGCGCAGCCCCAGCCCCAACCCCAACCCCAGCCCCAGTTGCGGGCTTCGGCCCCAGCGCAAACACCCCTCCCGGATCAGGGTGCGACACCGGCCCGTCAAACAGCTCGGCGCCCATATTGGCGGCCTCGTCCAGCCGCCAATAATAGAGGACCTCCTCCTGCCAGCGGCGGAGGTTGACGACCTTGAAGACGCCCTCGCAGACGGCGAGCATGAGCTCGGCCTCGATGGGGCTGGTGCGCAGGCGGTGGATTAGCCACTGGTTGATGTAGTCGGGCTTGTTCTCGGCCTTGGTCATGAGCGTGCTGATGCCCAGCTCCTTCATGCACTCGGCGCGCCGCAGCGCGCTGCGCGGGTCGTCCTTGGGCAGCTTCAGCGTGCGCTTGAGTGCCTGCAGCGGTGTGAGCAGTGAGAGCACATGGGATGGGTTGGAGAGCAGGATGGGGAACCGCGGGTGCGCGAGGGAAGGGGGTGGCGCGTGCGGGTGGTTACGGTTGGGTGATGGCCGGGATGGGGGCTCGATGGCCATGTTGCCATCTTGGGGGGAGGGAAGCCAGTCCGGGGAGCTGGAGTGGATGGCTAGCTCTTCGTGGTAGGAGGCGTGTTTGCGCATGACGCCCTTTTTGAGGCAGAGGGCGCGGAGGTCGGACAGCGTTTCGGTGGCCGACTCGAGCTCCGTGCGGGCGCGCTGGAAGGCCGAGTCGTAGTTGCGGAGGAATTCGAGTTCATCCTCGCTGATGGTGATGCCGAAGAGGTGTTCGAATTCGGCAGCGTCGGTGGGGACTTGGGCCAGCGAGGATCGCAGGGAGAGGAGATCCTCCTCGCTGATTTGGTTACCTTGGTTCTCACGCACGCGTTTCCGGTGGAGTTCAATTTCGAGGTCGTAGAGTATCTTCTCGCGGCGCATCCCGAGGTCCTCGACGTCCTCTTTGGCAAGCTGGCGGTCACCGGCGGCTTCCAACAGCTCCTCGTACAAGGGATGAACGTCCTCGTGCAGCTGCCCCGATATCCCTAGCAGGCTAACAGGAGTTGGTGGCGCAGAGTCATCTTCGTCGCTGGAGTCGTCTTGTTCTTGGACCTCCGCAGTGTCGGGTCCTCGCATAGTTGGCGGTGGTAGTGACAGCTCGATCTTTGGGACCACGTCCGCCCGGCGGAAGGGCGACCGGGATGGCCTATCCTCCAACTCTTCGAGCTTACGCTCCTCCATTTCCAGCTCAATCTCCATGGCTTCACACGCAATCTCGGCCGTGTAGTATTCGTCTCGAATCTTTTGCATCTCACCGATTTTCGCCTCGAGAACATCTATGGGGATGACGGCGGCAACCCCGTTCTTTGTTGACACTAGATGAGGCCGGAAGAATTGCATCAGGGAGTTGTCGGTGTCGTCCTTTCGGCGCCTGAGCCCCCGTAGTTCTTTTCGTTTGCCAGCAATTTGAGATCTCAACTGCCGGATACGTCTTTGTTGGGCATTGAGCAATTCCTGAAGCTCGTTGCGCCGCCCGTCTTCCGACTCTGGGTCAGAATAGTCCGGGTTTGGACCCCGAAAATGCTGGATCGGGGGCTGTCTGTCGATCGGCCCAGCGGGCGGGTGTCGGTACCATGGTGGCGGTGGTACGAAGCGAGGGTTGCCGCGCGGCGGCAACGGTTGGGGCGGTGGGCGTCGCCAATCCGCTGTTGATGGTGAATAGTAGCCGTCGTCGTCCGAGCTGGTGTCGGAGTCCTCCCGGGACGAAACGATCGAGTGCTCGTGGGACAGGACGGTGGAATCGCCCGTGTTATTGCGGCTATACGGTCGGTCCATGGGGTTGCGCAGCGCAGCCTCTTCGTAGAACGGGCCAAGATGCCACGGGGCCGGCGGTGGGATATGCCGGGCATCTCGATTGGCAATCTTGAGACGGGCTAGGTCGGTCGGGATGATCGGGAGAGGAGAGGTCGATCGTGCGATTTGGAGGGTCGGAGTCAAGGCCCCAACGCGATCATGATCGGTCCCGTTTGAGCGTGCTGATGCGCGACGGGATGATGGAGGCGACTCGGGCATGGTTGTGGGCGCCATAGGGATCGAGGCCACGCGTCCACTCGGGCAGCTCCCCCGACAGCCCGTGCCATCGAAGCTGCACGAGGTCGACGGGGGCTGCGGGTGCGCATGCGAAAGTGGCCGGCGAGGGCGACAGGGCGAAAGAGCGACAGGGCGACGGGGAAAATAAGAGACTGGAATGTTCTCGATTCGTTGCGGGGTGCGGAAAGTCGGCGCGTCGTTCTTCTCTCAGGGGGTCGGGTCAGCTTGACGAAATGCGGAGGAGGATGGAATGGAAAGGCTACGAACACGGTGGTGCCTCGAGTCTGGTCGGGCTTTCCCAAAAGTTACATCGGTACCCAGTACGGTATTAGTTACAGCACTTTAGGTGTTTTACATGGTTGTGACTGATCGGCATTCAAACCTCCCCTTGCTCTAAGAATGTCTTATTTTCCTCGGTTTTGGATTTCTCAGTGAGGTTGTATCAAAGATATGGTCCGTCGAGCAGGTCGCAAGGAATATCGCCATCCCACTCGAAGATACACCGAGTGTGACGGAGAGTATTCGGGAGCTCAGCTTGTAACACATGTTACTTACGTATTTATGGGTTGGGTGTTCTCGAAGCGCCAAGCAGGGGAGTTGGGGTTCTCATCTCCCAGGTATTGATGTACTGATTGGGACAGCATTGCTGCATTAATCACACAGCTTGGAATTCCGCCGTTTGTGGATGCGACGAGGAATCTTTAATCTCGCCGATACGCTCTTTTTAGATTCTCCGATATCAAGCAATTCTTCATTCAAAATGACCTTTGCTGCGTCGAGTACCTTGCAAATCAAGGACCGTCACGAAATATCAGGTTATCTGATCTTTTAAATACATCCCAAGTGGGCCAGTACCTAACCTCAGCCCGCCGATCTGGACCTTGCTCAAAAGATGCTCCAGAAGACAAAGAAGAATCTACAGAGCTGGCCTTTTCCGCGGATACCGTCAAAATTACAATTAGAATACATACCTTGGGCACGAGGATGCTTTTACCTTATGCCATGTGACCCTTTCCAGTGTGTCGGGCAGTTCCTCTACATCTAGATCATCGTCAACCCAACTCGCAAACTTACCAACTAGAACCCTGCAGTCTGGTGGAGTCGTAGCTTGCTCAAGGCTCCACTTGTGAGGGCGGCTCCGATCCCCGCCCGCAGGCGGTTTCCGTCCGCATCACATCCCCACAGTCCAACCCACGCGGCGGCCCTGATGTGGTGGGGCACATGAGGGAATGGGATGCACCTGGCTGATTCGGGGAGGTGTATTTTGGCGGGACCGTCTTCAACGGCCCGTGACGGCAAGTGCTCCGCCAGCCGGTGTTTCCTCTTTCCCTCGGTTCCCACTCGAGTGTCGCAGCCTAATGCAGAGTTAAGTGGGCAAAGAGGAGCTGACAGGTTGTTGCCCCTCTTCTCCCCTCCTCTCCTCTCTTTCGTTCCCCGGCGCACCACAGCTGGCATTGGCATTGGGCTAAAACATGCAGTCTGTGTTCGGGCCTGCAGAGCGCCACATCCCACTGGGCAAGTTGAGCACCGACAGGTTAAGCAAGTGCTCGGCATAGGACCAACCGGAGCGGTCAGCGGTCGGCCGGAGGGTGCATCGGGTCTTGTTAGCATTGGCCACTCGGGCCCAAGATAAGAGGGATGAAAAAGCAGCCACTTTCGCAGAGGAAGAGAGTTGGTTACATAGTTCCATTGCAGGCAAGCCCGGCTCATATGTATCCCGCGGCGGTCGGCAGAGGACCCCTCCTTCCCAACCCAGTCGCGCTGCCCCTCCACTTACCTACACTTCCCTCCGTTCCCGACTTCCCTTCCCCACTGTTTTGCACCTGCCAGTATTCCATCTGCAATCCCTTGACTTGGCTCTCCCACCACCTGCACCCCGAAACCAAAAGGTCACCCTCCGTCACCCTCGCGGCCACGCCATTCAGCGCCATTCAACCGGCGACGAGAGTTCGGTTCCCGCCGCGAATGAGGGGCCGAACCGTGTGTCACGAGATTCCCCCCACCAATTGTAGCTGCATTTAATATACGACAGCAACGCCAGCAAGTAGCTTGAGATCCCAAGCTGCGTCTTGCTGGAAAGCCGGTCGAGGTAGCGCCGGACCGCTGATACTTACTGCTCCCAGCTCCTGGCTGGTGTTGTGAGGCTCTGCGAGGCAATCGAAGCTCCACGGCCTTACCAAATCACCCCAGCCTTCCGGAGCGCGCGAATTCCCAACTTCGTTTTCTTATCGTATTTTTGGTTTCTGGAGTGCTCCTTGAAAGACTGCCTGCTGCACACGGGACAAGGCCCGTTCCGTCGTCGTCCATAGCACCGGTACCCCCAAGACAGCTAGTGCTAGCAAGTGTCCTAACACCACTTCGAACGAACTGCGTCTTTCTGTCTGATGCTTCCATTCCACCCCATCTTGTCTGTTACGTTACAAAACATCCCGACGGCTCTGGCCCGCGAGACAAGTCATCGCCATGGACCCCGGTGGAACTGACTGGAGCGAGTGGGCATGGGATTACTCACAGAATTGCTGGTACAGGGCCAGAAAGGATGCCCAGGGTACGGATTCCCAAGTCGACAGATGAACCCCTTAGTTCAGTATTAACCATGCGCATCGCGTAGGCCTTGTGCACTACGACTTTCAAGCAGCCCAGACGGCGCCGCGAGGGAACGTCGATGATCTTGCAAACTCGCTCAGTAATGTCAACCTCGGCATCCATCAAGGCACGCATTACACACAGGATGGGGCCTACACCTATGGCGCCCCGGTTCCCGTCGAAGGCGCTGCCGCCGCTGGCATGTACGGCACCTCATCCGCACAAGCAGCCCATTCTGCGTTCTCCGCCAAGGGCCAGGGGAGGAGCGCCGACTCGCACTCCAAGCACAGATCGAGGGATAAACCCTCCTCGAAGAAGCAACGGCCGAGGACCGCGAAAACAGGCAGCTACGAAGACTCCGAAAATCCTACCCCCGCGCACATGGCCCCGTTTTACAAAAGAACTGGCACCGCTTCCGGTTCTGACTACCCGTCCGCATCCGATGCCGGACCCGGCATCCACCAGGAATATGCTGATACGTACGAATCGTCACACGAATCAACATATGCATCTGGTTTCTCACAGGGTTCCGGCTCAAGCCAACCGTACCGCCAAGGTTCGATAAACGCTCGCCCCATTTATGGCAGTCCGACCGCTGACTAGAGGGCAGAGCCACCAGCGGAACTTGATGCCGAAGCCGAACCGTCTAGTTCAGGGACCGTACCCCCAACATCCGACGCGGCAGAATACCCCGATGCCGCGGGAGAGGATGACACTAGGCGTTATTCTACGGGCCAGGGTAAGAGTTCGAACCCAATACCGCGGTCGCTGTTGCTAACTTGGTTTCTATTCACGCTCAAGAATCCGTTGCATCAGACACATCGGGCGAGTTACTCCATGATGCGTTATTACAGGCCGAGGCCGATCCCTATCACACGGGCGACCTCGGCTCACCTTATTCGGGAGGAGAGTCTTCTTCGATGGCGGTAGCGCAGAGTCATCATATGTATCCTCCGTCCGAGGCAGACAATGGCCGGGAAACACCGAGACCACCATTCTCTCAACGACCAACAATATCAACGACGGAAACCGAAGACTACCAACACCAGATCAACGGGACCGAGAGTATTACTTCCGGACAAGAGCCGGGTTCACAAGACGGTGAGGAACCCTGTCCACTTGTCTCTGGTTGCGGTATGCTGAATTAATTGCCTAGGATACGTTGTTGAACGTTCTTCGAGGTTCCAACCCGGCGAGGTGAGATAGAACCAGCCCTCGGCCCTAACATGCCTAACACGCTTTATTTTAGGTCTTCAAAATTTTCTGGTGCGAGCCTCTCGGCGCCGGGCCGCCAAAAAGTGAGGTGATGACCCATCAAGTTCGCTTCGAACAGAACGGTCGGTCCTTCTATCAAGGGCTCCGACGTTTTATTGTGGTGGCAAACGATGAAGGCCATTGTACCTGCGTGTAAGCATGCCCTACCTTATAACTCCTCCATCTCGACCTTGCTGACCCGCCTCACAGGCCCATCTTGACATATGAGCACCAGGCCTGCAGAAAGAGGGGCGTCAAGCCCCTGAAACATGGAATCATCTACCAATCCGGGAAGCGGCCCAAGAAGCTGGACGGAGAGCCCCAGCTGGGTTTTGAACCGGTGTGCGTTAATCTCTACGAACGGACGGAACGTCTCGTCAAAGAGTCTCGCGTTAATTATGCGAAACTCACCACCATCGAGCACAACTTCCCAGTCTTCTTCATCGGTTCTATTGACCCGGCGGATTTTCATAACGTTGTCCGTCCGGCAGTTGATACTTGCTGGGAAAAGAAGAAACGGCATGCCAGCAACTACTAGGTCACTTCCGTTTCGACTCTCTCGGGTCGGCCTCTGCTATCAGTCGCGCGCCATTGCACGACACTGAACGTTTTTTGGTATTTTTCTAGGGGTCCTGCCCTGCGCCAGCTGAAGACTAGCTGGTATTGTCTGAATTTTGTATACGTTGATGGCTCAGGCAAACTTCTCCCTCGTTGCCGGGACCCAGCCAGGTCCTTCTGCGCACAGGTCGATTTTGGCTCGATCAAGGCTAAATAAGCTCTCAGCATGTCGCCTTTCTTTAGGGATGATTGGAGACGACGGCTCCCCGACAGTTCCGTTGTCGAGTAAGCGCCTCTCCCGAGATGCTACTCGCCTTTTCCTTTTTTTTTCTACTTCTGCATACCTGGCCTCATTGATATCCAGCCAGCGGGTGGTCTGGCAGTTTATGACGTATGACATTCACGATTTTCTTTGGGCTACTTCCAACACAATACCCTATGTTGCAATGAAGGAGGGGCTGGCTGTGGGCATGAGGGAGGGTTATGACAGAACGACGGTACAGAATGACTATACTTTTTTGTGGTTAAAATCACGGCATAAGCTGACCATCGTGGCTTTCTTCAAGACCTACTCTGATAACTTCTCCTGGAGTTAATGTGATAATTGGCTCGAATGTCTAACGCTGCATCGCCCACTATATTATGAGCACCCCTAGTTCATGATCCAACAACTTAGTAGAGACACGCATGACTTCCCTTCAGTCTTCCCATGGCGTCAATGGAAGGGCCTTGGACTCCCCTACCCAGTCCCTGCGCGCCTCTCTGGTGACCTCGGGAGCGATCCTGTCACAATATCACCAGACCGTCTAAGGGGCTTGGGAGGCGCAGAGTTAGGAAAATGGTCCCTAAGTATCCTTCCGTCATTCTGGTAGCTTTTAGTCTTCTTGGGAAGGCATTGATTGTCCTTGAGCCGGTATCTACCTTCGCGGCGATACAAAACCACACTCCTTAATCTTTTACCTATGGCTATGATTAGATACTTGCTCGTTATTGTACGTTGTAACTAGTACTTTGTATAATTACCCCTTTTGTTCCTTGCTGAGATGTGGTCCTCAAAATACGAAATAGGGCGGCGTTGATCACTATTAGATTATGGAAATGGGAATGTCCGTAGTCATTTATCCCAACAACAGATCGGGTAAAGTTTATGTCAACGTCCTCGTCGAAACGCATTCTTTCATTGAAAAGAAACCTAAAAATAAAACGTTTGCAAAGCAGCCGACGGGCCGATTTTTTCTTGCGAAACAACGCTCTTGGATTTTACTCGAGAAAAAGGAACTTTAATGCAAGCTGCTAAAAGAAAGAAAAGCCCAAGGATAACCAACAACCAGCCACGTGCTGGAATTTGGCAGTTACGAAAAGGTTGACCCGAGAGCTCGACAAGGCTTGCCGAGCGGCGCGGTGGGTCAACCGGTGCCCTGGTTCCGGAAACCATTCGCCGCTCCGTTTCCGCGGGGAGCGCGAGAAGCCGTCGGTCGCCGCCGGGAAAAGGAGGGGTGCTGGGCCCACCGTTGGATCCTTTTTGTTCCTGAAATTCAGGGGGAACTTGGGGAAACAGACAGGAGCGAAGAGAGCGATTAATCCCACAGATTAACTATGCTGAACACGTGTCCTGTATTCTTCGCTCGACCCCACGATCCCGCCATTTGTTTATCAGATCAACAAATTTGGGAAAGGGGCTGACTGATGAGGTTCTCGAGCCAGTTTTGGTCACGAAGTGGGGCTGATTGATAATTCTGATTGATTAGATATCTGGGCGTCATACAGTGTCCGTACTTTTAGCCGGACACCGTGCCATTCCCCTGCCCCTGACCAGAGCAGACGCCGAGTTCGGAGCGAGGTTCGAGCACTCGATGAGCAAGCCCGCCTTGAGAGGCTTTATCATCACTGGCACGGGATGTCTTATCAAAGATTCCCTTGAAACAACATCCCACTCACCTCCATCCTCGAGTTGCTCGGAGTGCTGGGCCCCAAACTGTTGGGGATGGGGCCGGCTGGGGCAAGTGGGCCGAGACTTGGCTGTGGAAAGGAGTGGCGGGTTTCGGGTCTGAAGCGCCGAGTGGCCTGATACTCCCAATAGGCCTCATGACCGGTAAAGGAAATTCGGTCCTGTGCGCAGGCTGTGGCTTGATATTGTATTGAAGGAATCTGAGAGCAGATTTAAGACTCTTCGTACCCTCTGACCGCTTCGCGAATGGGGCAGACGCAACACATGCCGAAACGAGACACATGCAAAGGACGCTACATAGCGAGCCTAGGATGGAAGGGTGCGTGATTGATCCTAACGCTTCCTCGCATTGTCTCGCATGCACAAATGCCTCAAGGCATCTTTGGGCGTCAGATATCAAGAAATTTACCAAGAACGAGAGGGATTTCCCGCAGTCCGCGGGAAAGCACGGCCTGATCGGAGAAGCATGGATGGCATCGGCCCTTGCTCGCCATCTTATCCAAACAGGCCATGTGAGTCCCAAGCCCTCGCACTGTGCTCGTACCCTCAGACCGTCGCTCAACAGGGTCGAATTCGCCTGCATGATGGAACGCACTGGATTATAGATGTCCAGCCTCCCGCTCTGCAAATGTTTTCAACTTTGTGGTTTGAGTTTGATGAGGCCTTGCTTTGTAAACCACCAGGCGCAACCCAATCCAACAACCGAATAACTAGCCGGACAAACCGCTTCACGGCCTAGATTGGTCCACATCAAACCCATACCCGACCGAGTGAACCCAGTCTTCGATTTACTAGTGCAAATTTCGGCCATGAGTCTGGGCTTTTGACTTTTGTTGCCCAAACCCCCTTTTATCAAACCCCTTCTTGCTACTCTCGCCCCGTCTACACTCCTCCGACCTTATCGGGCACCCCGACCGCAACGCAAAACAATGGCTACACACATCGACCGTTTCCTGGCCGAGCATTCGGTCTCCAGCATACCCGAGGAACCTCGCCCTGGCCCGTCAGCCGCACCCTCGCTTACATACTCATATTCTGAGTCCTCTGATGAGCACGAATTGGAAGAACCCCGCCAGCCCGAGCCCCGCCGCCGCCGCGCATCGACGCGCCTGATTGCACAGAGCCCGGCCGACGTGCAGCGCATTACGGGCGAGACCACAACTCAATTGATCCGTCGATGCTGCGGAGGCGGATGCTGCCTCGGTCTCGGGCGCCCCAAGAAGGACGACATCGAGGTTGAGCAGATCGAGTTCCCCGACAACGACGCATACCGATCGCTGTGTCTTAAGATTGACCAGGTTCCTGCGACGCTGAACGGCGTGTGCGATCTACCCGAACAAACGGCTTTCCTACAACCGCTCCGGCGGCCCTCGAGTGTACCGTCTCCTACCGACTCAGGCGTCTCTCTGGGTAGTGGGGACAGCCCAGTGTCGGCGGTGCGCGATGTAGAGAAGACGTTACACAACCTGGCGCTGGAGGATCTCGATACCGAGATACAGCCGCCCTCGTTCGTGCAACCGCACCCGCCGTATCACGTTTTCCCCGCCCGCATCCACAACACGCGCGAATTGACACGCCCGGGCGCTGAGAAGCGGACTTTCCATTTCGATCTCGATGTTACAAACTACCCCGAGGGTGAGGAGCACGACTTCAAGGTCGGCGGTGCAATTGGCGTCTCGGCGCCCAACGAGGCGTCCATGGTCGAAGAGGTCCTCGACCTCCTTATGGTGCCCCGCTTCCTCCGCAACAAGCCGGTCTTGCTTCGCACAACCTCCGGGAGATGGCCCACCGTTTGGGGCGATGACCAGGCGCGGGAGATCGTCACGACCCGCCGCGACCTGCTGACCTGGTGCTCCGACATCCAATCATACCCGCCGACCAAGCAGATCCTACGCCTTCTCGCCGAGCACGCGACAGAAGCCAACGAGCGCAAGATCCTCCTTTTCCTCTCCGCGGCCGAGGGCCAGGGCGTGTTCTGCGACTTCCGCACGGGGCCGCACGTCTCGCTCGCCCAGCTGCTGCACGCCTTCCCGAGCGCCAAACCGCCCCTGGACCACCTGCTCTCCGTGCTGCAGCCGCTAATGCCGCGCTTCTACTCACTCTCCAACGACCCCCACGAGTCGTTCCTGACGCGCGACGGCAAGCAGCACCGGCTGATCGAGATCGCCGTGACGGTGCACGAGACGGCCGACTGGCGGACGGGCACCCGGACGGGGGTCGGGTCGGGCTTCTTCCAGCGGCAGGCGCTCCGGTTCCTGGACGGGCAGGCGCAGCAGCAGGGCGATCAGGCGCCCGAGCTCTACATCCCCATGTTTAAGGGCCTCATGGCCAACCCGCTGGCCAAGCAGTTTGTGACGGACGGGCCCATGCTGCTGATCGGGGCCGGGGTGGGCATCGCGCCCTTCCGCGGGTTCGTGCAGCGGCGGCTCAAGACGGCCAACTGCGCCAACAAGGTGTGGGTGCTGCAGGGGGTGCGCGACTCGCTCGTCGACGAGCTCTACAGCGGCGAGTGGGGCGTGCACGAGGACGAAGTCAAGCGCGTCGTGCAGAGCCGCCGCGGCGAGGGCCGCTACGTCCAGGAGGAGGTCAAGGCCCAGGCCGACCTGGTGTGGTACATCATCAACTCAGTCGACGGCCGCGTCTTTGTGTGTGGGAGCAGCAGGGGCATGGGCGAGGGTGTGGAGAAGGCCCTCGTCGAGGTCGCCATGGACAAGGGGAACCTTGAGCGCGAGGAGGCCCAGACGTTTTGGGATTTGAAGAAGCAGGCGGGGCAGTACATTGCCGAGACATGGTAATGGGCTATTTCTCATTTTCATTTCTTACTACTCGAAATGGATATGGTCTCAGGGAAGCTTGATGCTTGCTCTATGGCCATCCGTAAACATGGTACGGTCTGGACGACAAAAGAGAAAACGGAGAGGGCGTTTGGGCGCATGCATTTGCAGCGGAGATGATTTTTCTGATTTTATACCATCGGCTCGGGCCGGCACTAGAGAATAGGAAATAGGCGGTATTCTAGATTTAGCTGGCCGTTAGATGGCTTCATACGACGCACATGGACTATTCGGTTGTAGGGTTTTATGTGTGTAGAGCTGGGTTTTGTTCATAGATCAATCAGAGGTATTAGCTGAGGCTGTTTACATAGTAATTCTGTCACTACCATGTTCAGATGATGAAGCTCTTCAATTTCAATTCGTCTTAGTCCTCATCCAAACTTCTCTCGTCTCTTCTCAGCAGATCCAAAACCAAATTCTTGCAGTCCCGAGGTCGGACGATAGGGGCAAAAACAAGACACGGAGTTGCATTATCTAAACATACTCATTGCACACGATATGTTTCCACCTATGCTTTACTCAGATTTGACAACTTTTACATAGTAAATGATGAGTTGTATTTCAAAGACTTGCGCGCGCAGGTCGCCATATGATCATATCGTCGTCCTTACGGCACGAACGCTGAGCGAGAGCGACGGAATTACGAGCAGTGACCCCTGCTTTTCCACATTTCGACAGGGGCTTGTTGTGACTTGTTCAGCATTTGAAATGGATTTGGCTCCAAATCTGGCCCACTGCCGTACAGTGATTGGAGAACAAGGGCAGCGACCCTCCGGTAAAAGCTGACATAACCATTATGACTTCCGTTTTGGTCTCGCGCGCGGCGAGCGGGACCCAGTTTTAGTTGGAGAGCGTTCTGCCTTAGTCAACCTCTGTTACCAAGTGGTGGAGACTCAGGGATGGATTTGGTGAAATGCCGCGCGCGGCACTCTAGGTGAGGAACCAAAACCAAAATTTTGCAATGTGTTGATTGCAAAGCATCTACCGGGAAAGAGCCTGTTGTTTAGGCTGGTTCGTGTGGATAATCCAAGGATGGCAAAGTTTAGAGTCAAGTAGTTTTAGAAAAAGTGTATATAACCCGTTCGCTCGTTCCCTATCCAGACCCCTATTCTCGATATCACAGACAAGCCTTCACATCAAGCACTCCACTCCCTCACACACAAACAAGTGACATACTCCTCACTTCAATGCAAAGAATCTTCACATCCGTCTCACGAGTATTCTCCAAGACCCGCCCTCTGACAACCCAACTCCCCAAGATCACCACCACCACCACCAGTACCACCACCCCCAAGTCCTTCACCACCACCACCACCACCAAAATGGGCAGCATCACCACCACCGCTACCACCACCACCAACGGCGCGGACAGCTTCCTCAGCCAAATCACCGCCCGCCGCACCTTCTACCCGCTCAACAAGGAGCTCCCGATCTCCGCCGCGCGCGTGCAAGAGATCGTCGGCACGGCGCTCCAGCAGGTGCCGTCCAGCTTCAACTCGCAGTCGAACCGGGTGGTGGTGCTGTTCGGGGCGGAGCACGACAAGTTCTGGGATGCGGCGCGCGACATCCTCAAGGCCATCGTGCCCGAGGCCGGGTGGGAGGCCACGGCCGGCAAGATGGCCATGTTCCGGGGGGCCGCCGGCACGGCGCTGTTCTTTGAGGACCAGACCGTCGTGGAGGGCATGCAGGCAAAGTTCCCGACTTATGCGGATCGGTAGGTCTTACTCGATCTTTTTTTCTTTTTTTTTTTTTCTCTTTTTTTTTTTTTTTGGATGGTGGGGGCTAACTCGATGGAAATAGGTTCCCCGTCTGGGCAGGCCACTCCAGTGGCATGCTGCAGTTTGCCGTGTGGACCGCGCTCGAGGCCGAGGGGCTCGGCGCCAACCTCCAGCACTACAACCCGTTGGTTGACGCCAAGGTCGTCGAGGAGTGGAAGGTCCCTGCTACCTGGAAGCTGACCGCGCAGCTTGTCTTCGGTGGCAAGGTTTCGCCTGATGCCGCAGAGAAGACGTTCCTTCCGCTGGAGGAGAAGTTCAAGGTCTATGGTGCTTAAGCGGATAGGGGACCTAATGAGTAATTGATATCATGGAAAGGGGGTTAGAAGCAAGCATTCTTGAGGAGTCATTTCGTCCGGTTTTAAGAGACATTCATATAGAGACGCATGAGAATAAGAGATGTTCGTTGGAACATTTGAAAAACAGATCTGTTCTATAATCTTTTGTGCTTAGACCCGACGAAATTCTAGTATCGGCCATGAATTTGTTGCTTACATGCTGGTGGTGCTTTCCGTGCATTACCCAAACACCTTTTTTTGGTACGATAATTTCCCAAATTCAGTTGGCATGAGATGAAACATCAATCTGCCCCAGCGCCTGCCCAACCTTGACCGTTTGCCCCTTCTCCACAGCCCACTGCCACCCGCCCGTGTGCCGCCCGTTCTCGTCGTGCTCCCCGGCCGGCGCCTCAAACACCATCACAATGGTGCTGCCCAGCTGGAAGCCACCCATCTCCTCACCGCGCCTTAGCGCATGACCCCTCAGCACAGAACTCGCGGCCTCGTATGTCGCCTCGGCGTAACCCAGGTACGGCTCGCCACGGTTGGCAGCCTCCTCGGCGGCCTTGTCGGCCTCGGTGTCGGTAGTCAGACTGTTGGTGCGGAGTTCCCTGTCAAAGTTGATCTTAATAGATCCAACGTTGGTAGCGCCGACGGGGACGTAACTGAAGAAACCCCAGCGCCAACGGCCGAGCAACACGACGCGCTCGTTGAGCGTGAACAAGCCGGGCATGGTACGCTGCAGGTAGGGCGACACGCTGTACAGCTCGCCGGCGAAGTGACGGCGGCGCTCAACAACCCAATTAGTAGGCGAGTGGAACCGGTGGTAGTCGCCGGGCGCGAGGTAGATGACGGCGTAGTAGAGCACGTGCCGGCTGTCGGGGGAGAGATAGTCAAGCCAGGACTTCTCGCCCAGCTCGAGCTCCGCGCGGACTTCAGAGACAGAGGTGGCCGAGGCGGTGACGGATTCGTCTTTGGGGTGGTCGAAGCTGCTCTTGCGCTTCTTCTTGTTGCCCGAGAGGAGGTCCGGGAGAGTGTAAGAGATGCCATTGACCCGGGCGAATTCCTCCTCTCTTTGGACAAGCTCTTCATCCCCCTCCAGTTCGTGTTCGCTTCGTTTACGGAGTTTACCCGGCCCCGAGGATCTCGGGGTAGGGTCTGTTTTGGCCGAGGGAGGGCCGTCAATGGTGTAGGTCATCCCTTTCACCTGCTCGATATCGCCCGCCCTGATATTTGTCCGACCTGCAAGAACCCCCCCGTCAGATGGGGAGAAGGAGCCCATTCGGTTTAGGATCGAGGGGTCGCGCCCCGGCCTTCAGAGTGCGGTAAAAGAAGCGGCCCAGGTTTGGGAACACGCGGAGGTCCGTCTCGTCATTTTCGTTCAGTTATATGCCGAAAAAGAAAGAAGTACAAACTTAAGCCTGTATTCGCAGTAAGGTCGGGAGGGTAAAACTCGTTGAACCTTCTCAATAGTCGGGACATGGCTTTTTGGGCCAAGGTCGCCATAATTGGCCCCCGCCTCAACGTCTGTTTGTTTCGACCCCAGACATCAACACCCACGCCCAAATACCCAGATAATAATGATTATTACCAAAAAAAGGTGGGGGGGGGGGGGGGGGGGTAACCTACCAGGGGCCATCTGGGCGAACCCGCGGTCTCTTTTTCGGCCGTTGTCCGGGCTCGCCATCTTCGGTCTCTTTTTCCTGCTCTCTGGTGTAGACCTTGTAGAACTGCACCAGCCCCAGGAACCCAACGCCGAGACCGACGGGGATGGGATACCAGTGGATCTTGGAGTCGTGCACCTTGGAGTCGGCCCTTGGCCTGTGTGACTGCTGTGAAAAGGGGCGACGTCCGGGGGTTTGCTGGCTCGCCGACTGCGGTCCTCGAGACGCAGTCCTGGAGAAGGCGTGGAAGTTGGAAAAGTTGGAGATCCGGTGGCAGCCACGGCAGGTCGAGCGCCGGGCAATCGTCGAGCGAGCTACCCCGACAGTAGAAGAAATGGGACCAATCTGGAGAGACGCCATATTGTCTTCGTCTTAACAAATCTTGATCTTTTTACGGCGAATCCAGAGAGGAAGGGACGGCGGCGCGCCGTGTCTCACGAACCTGCATCGTTTGCCAAGGGAGCCTCTAGCCGGCGGCGATTGACGCCGCTTTTGCACTTGCGGGATTCGATGGCGGGGGGTTCGCGGCACGGTAAGCTCAAGCGGTTGCTCTCATGACGCAGGTGTGCATTCGGACGAAAGAATCCAGCCCAGTGATGGATCGGCGTTTCCCGCTGGCCCAAGAACTTGGGACGGATCGGGCACCTTTTGTAGTGGAGGTTGTGGCTACTTGAAGAGCGGTCAATTTCGCATATTTGCACACTAAATGCGGCATAGTGGATTATCCCTGGGGTAGGTTATAGCCAATTTTATGTCTAGCATGTGAGAGGGGCAGTGGGGCAAGTAGCTGTACCCTGCTGTACCTGCATGTTTTTGTACACAGTGGTCAGTGGTCAGTGGCCAGTGGTGTGTAATCCTCCGGATGACAGCGTGGAAGTTCCAACAAGTCGGGAGCTCGGGGGCTGATGAATACCTATACAGCACAACGCCGTCAGCAGTTCAGGAGAGGGGAGCACAACATTACACGCTTCAAGGCCAATGCCACTTAAAGCCAAACTCTGAGACAATTCCAAGTTTGCGCCTTTTGCTTTTACAAGACAACCCCTTGTTCCTTTCCTTGCAATCGTTTTAAACGTGTTCGAAACAATTTATGCCGAGCATCCATGGCTTCGTTATAGACGCCAACCAAAACACCGACGAGGGAGCCAACTGCCCTTAATACCACCCATCATACCATCCCGACAGATCCAGGTTTCCATTGCGCATTTCAAGCGACCGTGCGATAGAGCTCCCGATTATCGCACCCGCCCTCGAGACCGAGCGCAATGGCGGACGAACAGCCGGGCTCTACCCCACCGGCGTCGCAAGACGATGCGCCGCTGGTGGTCAACCTTCAAATTGTGTCGCCATCAGTCGGTGTTGGAATCCTACGGTTCCCCGACCTGCCGGCTACCACGACAATTCAGCAGCTGAGAGGAAACATCCGAAACGCTCTGCCATCGAGGCCGCCGGATGACCACCAACGTCTAATTCACCGAGGTCGGCTCATGGCACGCGACACAGATACATTGCAAGATATCTTTGGCGAGGAAACAGTACGCTTTTTCTTCCACCGAAGAATTGCGAGTTTGAGAGGGCGCTAACAGAGTCCGTGATAGCTACGAACAAATGATCAGCAAACAATACACCTCGTACTGCGAGACACCGGCGACCTCCCTCCGCCCGATGCTCAACCGCGCCTTCTTCCACATGCGCTCCGGAATGCGCCCAACGCCGCCGCCATCCCCCGGCCGGGCTCGGCGCCTATCGGTGTGCCCCATGCCACAGCTCATTTTGCACATCATGTCCATCAGCATGCTCAACAGCACGCCCAGCAACACGCCCAACAACAGGAGCTACTCCAACGAATGAATCAACTCCAACAGCGGGAAGCGAACTACCGCCAACTTTTAGCCCAGCAACAACAAAACAACCGTACCGTGATGGGCCCCCAGATCTTTCAGGACGGTAACGGTCAGCCTCAAGTTGGCGGGGTTGATCCTACAGGAGGGAGAAACAGCCCCGTCGGGCAGACATTTCGGACCGTTACAAGAGAAGGTACAGGGCCAGACGGGCAGCGATATAGCTTCAGGATCGTTCTCAATGATGTCATCAACCCGCCTGGCACCGGCTCCCGTCCCCCATCGAGACCCGGGCCGCCCTCTGATCCTGTCGGACAGAGGCCGCTTTCAGCCGCCGATGTCCGCAACATAATCCACGGAGCCGACGCAACTCGGGCCGCTCAAACTATGGCTAATGCCATGCAACGGAATACGTCGGGCGTGCCCCCAGCGAACATGCCGACTGAGCTTGCTCACTTCAACTTCAACAGCCCTATCCAACCAATCCAGCCAGGCGTCACAACCCCCATCTTCCCAGGCGTATCAAGAAATGTTAGTCGGGCAGCCACTCCAGACACATCGACTAGATCTGTTAGCCATGGAAGCGGTATTGGGCCGAGTAGCCTGCCGCTCCCAACACAACTTCAAGGTAACCCCGAGGTGTACATCCTCTCCTCGCCGACGGGGCCCCGAGGATTGTTAATCAACAATGGTTCGGAGTTGTACACCACTCCTGCCGCTCGGTCGCTGCCTCTGGTACCAAACCTATACCGGCCACTTGTCCCGTCCTCGTTATTCGGCGAGACGCATCGCATCGAGGCCCAAATCCAGCAGGGACTAGGACAACTGGCTGGTTCAAATGCGGGTCAGCCACAATCACATATTCAGGCGCCGCATACACAGCCCTATCAACCGCCTTCACCTCTCGCTCAACAACCCTACCCCCCGGCTCCGACCATGGATCAACAACAACCACTTCCTCAGGCACACAACCAACAGCAACCCGCGATCCGCCGCCGGCCAGTAGCCGGTCAAGCAGCACCCGCAGCGCCGCCACCCGCAGCACACCCGCAGCCACAGCCGGCACCCGCGCTCAATGCACATGGCAATCCGGGCGTGGCCCCTCTGGTGGCAGCGATATGGCCGCACATCTGGCTCCTCATTCGCCTAGTCGCGTTCGCGTGGTGGTTTTCATATACGGACCCGTCTTGGGAGCGTTGGCTATCCCTCGTCCTAGCTTTCACCGTGGTGCTCGCAATTAACACGGGCATATTTAACGGAATGGTCAACAATGCGTTCCACCCGGTGAGGGAGCAGCTTGAGGGGATGATTCCATTCGCGGACCCCAATCGGCCGCAACAGCAGCAACAACAACAGCAGCAGCAACAGCAACAAGAGCAACAGCAAAATCAGCAGGAAGGGGTCGTGAACCAGAATAATGAGAACGTCACAAACCCGGACCCGGCGCAAACAGCAGCGAGACTAGTCGCGGAGCGGAGAGTCCAGAACGGGAGTTGGCTGAGAGATCATATGAGGCGGATCGAGAGGGCGGGGGTTTTGTTCCTCGCCAGCTTTGCGCCGGGTGTGGCCGAGAGGCATATCCAACAGCTCGAGGAGCAGGAGCGGGCGGAGCGGAGGGCTGCTGAGGAAGCGAGGGCTGCCGCGGCCGCGGCCGCAGAAGCGGCTGCGCAACAAGAAGCCGAACAAGCCGCTGCTGATAATCAGGAAGGACCAGAGGGAGGCGAAGATGGGAGTCCCGCTCAGCAGCAAACAGAGGCCCCTGAAGTTCAACCTCAGCCACCGTTGGTCGAGGTATAGGCGTTGCTATTGAATTATGGGCGTTCTTAGGATGCGAGGACTATTTTTTTTTTGAATACCTGTATTTTTCTGGGGCGAGTCGAGGGCGGTATACTGTGACTGATGTACGAATTCCACCGGTATTGACTTGAACACCGTCGTTTCTCTTCCGCCCTCAATGTGTCCATGTGCTGTAAAGTGCAGAACTATGCCATGCTGATAGTGGGCTATCTAGTACACGGTTCCCATTATGTAGGACCCAAAAGTTGACAAACTAATCTGGGAAGCATAGATCAACTCCAGCGCCGAGCCCCCTAAAACCTCCCGAGGCTGTCTCGGAGTTGGCCCCGGGCTTGACAGCCGAAGTGGGGCCGCGACACCACTCAATGCTCGCACTCGGCCGTGGAGTACCGAGGCATCCAGGATTCCCCGCAAACAGCAGGGGCTCCCTGATAAAGAGGACAGGAGGAAGGAACCTGAGGATCGTTTTAGCATAATCATATCCCAAATATATATTCCGATCATCTACTACTCCGATTGACTTCAGGTTTCCCCAGACTTGATCAATCCCTTGCTCATCTTGTCTGACCAAAACACAACGAACCAAAACCCACGTCATATCACACATCACATCACAGACAATCCATCCCATCCCCCCCAAACCATCACCATGGCCGAAGCCCAACTCCACGATTTCCCCTCCCTCTTCTCCCTCGAAGGCAAAGTCGCCGTCGTAACCGGCGGGTCCCGCGGCCTCGGCCTCAGCGCCGCCTCCGCGTAAGCCCCCCCCAAATCCCAAAATCAAAATCACCACTCCCACTATATCCATCCCAGCCACTAACCCACCCCCCAGCCTCCTCCAAGCCGGCGCCTCCAAAGTGTTCATCAGCTCGCGCAAAGCGGCGGCCTGCGACGCGGCGTGCGCGACGCTCAACGCGCTGCCCAACCTCCGCCCGGGCGCGCGCGCCATCTCAGTCCCCGCGGACGGGGCGACGCTCGAGGGCGTGAAGCACCTGGTCTCGCAGGTGGCGGCGCAGACGGAGCACGTGGACATCCTGCTGGCCAACGCGGGCGCGACGTGGGGGGAAGGGTTCGACACGCACTCGGACGCGGCGTTCGCGAAAGTGCTGGACCTCAACGTGCGCGGGGTGTTCAACGCGGTGCGCGAGTTCGCGCCGCTGCTGCAGCGGCGGGCGCGGGCGGCCGACCCGAGCCGGGTGGTGATCACCGCGAGCGTGGCCGGATTGGGGGTGGGCACGCTGGGCAAGCAGGGCACGTACGGGTATAGTGCGAGTAAGGCGGCGGTGTTGCATCTGGGGAGGAATCTGGCGGTGGAGCTGGGCCCCCGGGCGATCACGGTGAATAGCATCTGCCCGGGGTTTTTCCCGAGTAAGATGAGCAATGGGTTGTTGGAGATGTCGGGTGGTGCGGAGGCGTTGGGCAAGGAGAACCCGTTGAGGCGGCTGGGGCAGGCGGAGGATATCGCGGGGGTGATTGTGTATTTGACCAGCAGGGCGGGCGCGTATGTCAATGGGGCGGCGATTGAGATTGACGGCGGCGCGTTGTGGCAGAAGGGGCAGCTGGATGTTAAGTTGTAGAGGAGAGGAGTGGGGATAGAATCGTGTATAGCGAGTTGTATATTACGATATAACACATACTTTTCCGCAACGACGGTAAATACACATTATTGTTAAACTGCAGATGCCGTCGGCTTGCGAGCAACCCATGCGCTTGCCTTATACGTTGTTTGCAACATCGACTCCTTGTCGACGATGTACGGTGCCTCGATGCCCGTTTCCCTTGACACGACCTCGAACCCGACGTCGGTCACCAATGCCATCACCTCCTCGTCCGTGAGTTCAAAGTTACCCGGATCTGCTATCCCAGATGTGTCGTGGCCGGAGTCGGGGTCGCCGTCCTCGTGTTCGTCCCGGTCCCACACGCGGCCCTCAAAATGCCATAACAGAGGGCCGATGTTGACGAGGATGCCGCCCGGCTTGAGGCAGTGAAATATGGTCTCCAGGTACCGTATGAGGTTAGGCGCCGTGTCCAAAAAGAAGACGGTGGCAACCACATCGTAGGCTGCCGCCCTGTCTTCTTCGGCGTAAAGACACAAGAAGTCGGCGGCGCTCATGCTCATAGAACCAACGCGTTCCGTCTTCTCCGCCTCTGTGAGCTCCGTGGCGCAGTGCAAATCCGGGACGGAGTAACTCCGCAGGTGGTTGGCCCTGGATCTATGATTTGAAAAGGAGTGAATCCAGGGGAAGATCGTATGCTGGCCGGCACTCTGGCAGCAGTTAAGGATGTACGAGGATGCCAGCAGCTGGTGATACGAGATCTCGTTGCCCTCGGCTTCGTATCCGCTCCTGCACAACTCAAAAACGAACCGGCCGAGACCTGCACCAGGAACGAGGATCTTGAGCGAGGGGTGGTTCGGCCCCCTCGCGCTCTGCTCTGCAGCGATGGCGCGCAAGACGGGCCCAAAGCTAGCCTCTCGTTCCCCGGCACCTTCGGCCGACCAGTCACGGTAGAACTGGCGGATTGTGCTGCGGGCTTTGTCGATGTCGCCGGGCTTGGCTGAGCCATTCCATTGTGGAGGCAACTTCAGTTCACCCGTCTCGGAGGGAACACCAACATGGAACATCTCCAGACCCCTCTTGAAGATGGTGCGGGCGAGCTCGGCGTTGGATTCGATGGCGTCGTCTATCTTGTTCAGAGTGTCTAGATAGTTGAATGGAGGGGCCGCAAGCCTCTGCCAGTGGGCTTGTGGCAAAGCGTAGAACGCCTGCCTACGCAGATGCGTACATTGGAAATGGGATGTCTTAGCATATTGCCTATTGCGAGGTCAATAATTGAAGCAGTTTGAGGGCAGACAACGGCACAGTTGAAAGATTTTGACACAGAACAAACTCACACGGGTGGCTGAGTTATGGCGACTAGAATAAGCAGGGATGGGGGTATAAGGGAATTTCCCTACGGTGGCCGGCTGTTTCATATGCAATAGAAGGAATATTGGGTTGGGGGTTGAGTCAAACATCGGGATTTGCCCATGCTGTGACCGGGAGAGTGACATGTGAGAATTTCCGAGATGTTACTCACTGATAAGAGTCAAGCGTGCGGTAGATGACCTGCAACTCTTCCGGATCATCGATTCCATTTTCGATGCCGTCCCACGGGGTGTCCTCCTCCATTTCTGTTTTTATTTGCGTAGTGGTAAAGGGAAGAAAATGGAACCGGGAGTGTTCGAGGATGGAGTTGACGGAAAGAGCGGAGCCGGAAACCGGTGGGTGTTTGCCTCGGAGTGACGGATGCAGTGGCACCTTCCTCCATCCCCGGCGCAGACCAAAACCCAAACTCGGCCCGTTCAGAAGAATCGTTCAGATACTCCCCGGGCCGTCCCGTTGCTTCTCCGATACTAGGTCATTTATAAGTTCAGGTTTCTCTTCATGTTATATACACAGTAAACGCTGTCAACGTTGTGCACAAAACCTCGTGCAAGCTACATTTGACCATAACCAAACAAGTATAATAATTCAATTTGGTCTCAAGTTACACACCTCTTCGGCGCTCAAACAAATGGTCCAGGCTTTAAAATCGAGTAAATGAGACAAATCTCTCGAGTTGTGTTGAGATACACAGAAGAAAACACAGTCAATTCACTAAAAACCAGGAACACATCCCAAGAAATCACAAACCCTAACCCTCGGTTCATTCTCATCAACTCCAATCGTTACCCCAGTTAAGGCTTCTAGCATCTGCACCTCACTGTCGCCATGTCATTTCACGAAATTAAATAAACTTTCAACAGTGGCAATGGAAACCCCCATACAAATATCTTTCCCTCTTCCGCGGTCGCTAGACTCGCGAATCTACCTCCATCTGACGGTCAAGTCCAAGGCCATTCTACTCTTTCTCACAACGGCGTCGATGGAAGATGCGGGTTCACCAACCCCCTTGGGGTCGTTTGTTTATGCTCTTCCCGATGTACGCCCGCCTTCCCACATGACCTGCATCAAACTGCTGACCTTGGCTCAGAGGTACAACCCCAGTCAGCCTCTGGCCACGCCGCTTTGCACGGTGGAACCGACGATCGAGTTTACCACGCGGCTAGCCAAACTGCTGGTAAGGAAAACCCAACGACCGATCTATGTGGGCAACTCCATAAGCTTTGCGAGCACCGGACTGGGCGGGACTGTGGATGAGGAGATGGACGCGTTCAAGAAAGTCGTCGAGGTCACTCTGTCCCAATTAAAGCCCGTCATTGAGGCTGCCTAAGCTCGCGGTGATGAGCCTGCTTGAACTAGTCGATTATACGACCTCAGCTCTCATAATCCATAGCCATTGCAACAGATGGAGTCAGACACAACACAAAACGAGCTATCAGTCAACAGCCCTAATCGGTCGAAGGCCACCTCAAACGCTCCGACGCCGTGTTTCACCGAACGGTCCACATGGTTAGAAGAGTGCTGTGCCATGTATTATCCGAAGACAGCCTTTACGATGCTGAAATTACCGGGCCTACGGGGTTCCTTCATGATGAGGTCAGCCGCCGCTGGGATAACCCATCTCACGTTTCTTGTCTTGGAGCATCGTGGAAGAGCTGCAATGAAGGATAAGCGCAGTTCCCATCGGCGCGAAGGGGTCTTTTCTCATTGTTGCACATATATTATGACGTGGGCCAGTACAAGTGTTGGACACAGTATCCGTGTGAAAGATGAAGAAGTTTACCGATTGGGCGAGTGAGACTGCCCATCAGCCAGAATAAAGCGGGCGGTTTCCTCAGCAGCAAAATGGAGCTTTGCCTGGTAAATGGGGACCTGGCCTTTGGGCCGGGTCCGAGTCAATACGATAGGACAACAGCGTATGTCAGCACAACAGAGGCTGAAGATGGAAGATACCCCTGCATATCTGAGGTAGGCGCCTGACAGATTACTGAGGCAGGGAGACGGGCTCTCTGTGGCCAAAAAAGCCGAACTCTAAAGGGCCAAAGATCAAGAAAAGAGACAGAAGTAAAAGAAAGTAAGAAAATAAAAGGAGAGAAAAGAGACACAGCAAAATAAATTATATAAAAGAATCAAGTAAAGTAAAAAGTAGACTTTGGGCTTCCGAATAACTTTCTTTTTCGTTCCTAGTCGAAGGTTCCGTTGACACCTATACTTTAAGAGTTCGGCTTTTTTGGCCCATGGGTGACGAGCAAGATGGACCCCGCTGCCAAAGCGCTCTCTCCGACGTCCAAAGCGGCAGTTGCTGTGGAGCTCGGGGTTCGTGAACCTCCCATTCTGGTTGGCCACATGCTATCAGAGTCCCACTATAATTCTGACCATGCCCCGCCAGACCTCTGCAACAAGGTCTTGCCAGGGCCCCCGCGGCGCAAAATTTAGGGTGGGCGACCAACGTCGCTTTTGAAACAGTCGGCTGCCCACTCTTCAGTCAAGATCCGACAACAAAGGACAGAAAATCAAGGTGCGTGAGATCAGAATCCCACAGGGCCGGGTAGGCGGTTAACCGCAGGTACCTCGTTTCGTGCTTGACCTACTACTTTTTTTGTGCAACTCAGATTGCCTGATGGCCCAACCCCAGTTCGTGCGCGAAGGCTAACAGCTTCTGGTTTCACCCCACTTTGCGCAGACCAGAAGAATGCCGTGACCAGCACCACCAGCACCACCTTAACCTGAACCTTTTCAACCCGTAATAAATCAACCACGAAAAGAGACCTGTTCTTCATTCCCGCCCAAGGCAATTTGACCACCCATCTGCCATATTTTGATCTTCGTTTGTGCTTCGAAGCTCTGCAGCTCCGGGGCCAGCGTTTGCCGCTTTTCCAAACACCAAAAAACCCACAGGGGCTCTCGTTCAACCACACATTTGCTTGCCTGCCCCCGCCCCGCGATACTCGACGTCGGTTCTTCGCCATGGATTGGCAACCAAACCCAGAGTCCCTGAGGACTCTCGCAGGATGTCTCAAGAATTCCTTGAGTGGCTTCGATAAGACGGCACAAAAACAAGCTGAAATCGTAAGTGATCTCAGAAGCTTTGCGCCTGCGCGTGTTGGTGGGGAAACTAACCCAACACCCCCCGCAGCTGTTGTCCCAAGCAAAAGCGAGCCCGGATTTCAACAATTACCTGGCCTACATCTTCTCGAGTGCCAATTCGCCCGCCGGTCTGGCGCTGGCCGCCAATGACTGGCATTTGGTCCGCTCGGCCGCCGCCATCATGCTCAAGAACAGCGTCAAGTCGAACTACAAGCAGATCCCCGAGGGCAGCATCGCGCTGATCAAGCTCGCGGTCCCGATGGGCGTGCAAGACGCCAATTCGCAGATTCGCAATTATGCTGGCAATATTGCGACCGAAATGATCCGCCGTGGTGGCCTCTACAGCTGGCCGGAGCTGTTGCAGGAGCTGTTGAAGCTGTTCAGCAACGAGACGGGTCAGGTATCGAACGAGGCACAGGAGGGTGCTATGGCGGCCATGGCTAAGATTTGCGAGGACAACACCAAGCTCCTAGAGCGGGAACATAACGGCCAGCGGCCACTCAACATCTTGCTCCCAAAGTTCATCCAGGCGACCAAAAGCCCCTTGCCCAAGGTCCGCATTCACGCACTCACGGCCATCAATGTTTTCACCCCCCGGAAATCACAGGCAATGCTCAACTCCATCGACGACCTCCTGCAACACCTCTTTTATCTTGCCGAGGACCCCGTGACCGATGTTCGGCGCCAGGTCTGCCGCGCGTTTGTCCGCCTCGTCGAGACCCGCCCGGACAAGCTTTTGCCCCATATTAACGGGCTGGTCGAGTACATCATTTCGCAACAAAAAAGCGACGATGAGGACCTTGCCTGCGAAGCCGCCGAGTTCTGGTTGTCGGTCGGTGAACACGACGATCTGTACCAGAGCCTTGACCCGTACATCCAAAAGATCATCCCGGTGTTGTTGGAATGCATGGTCTACAGCCCAGAGGACATTGCCATGCTGGGCGGGGAATCGGACGACGAAGATGAGGAGGACAGAGAGGAGGATATCAAGCCCCAGTTCGCCAAGAAGAACCTCAAGCGCGGCGCCAACACCGAGCCGTCAGAGGCGTCGGCCGAGGCAAACCAGAACGGGAACGCGTTTCAGAAACTGGCGAGCATGGACGACGACTTGGAAGAGGGCGAGGTTGACGAGCTGGATGAGGAGGGGGGCGACGAAAATCCTGACGAGAAGTGGACGCTCCGCAAGTGTTCGGCGGCCGCCCTCGATGTCTTCGCTACCGACTTTGGCGGTCCTGTGTTCACCTCCATCCTGCCGTATCTGCAGACCAATTTGAAGCACCAAGACTGGCCGCATCGTGAGGCTGCCGTCCTTGCGCTCGGCGCTGTCGCCGAGGGCTGCATGGATGTCGTGATCCCCCATCTACCCGAACTTATTCCCTACCTTATCAGCCTGCTAGACGACCCGGAGCCCGTCGTTCGGACCATAACCTGCTGGACACTCGGGCGGTATTCGGCCTGGGCGGCTAACCTGCATGACCCGGCCCAAACACAGGCCTACTTCGTCCCCATGATGGACGGCATCTTGAGGAAGATGATCGACAAGAACAAGAAGGTGCAGGAGGCCGGGGCCTCAGCTATGGCGAACCTCGAAGAGAAGGCGGGGAAGCATCTCGAACCTTTTTGCGTCCCCATCATCCAGCAGTACGTCCTATGCTTCAGTAAGTATAAGGACAAGAACAGATGGGTCCTTTACGACTGTGTTCAGACGCTGGCTGAGCACATCGGTCCCGTGCTGGCCCGCCCCTCACTTTGCAACCAGCTCATGCCTGCCCTTATCGACCGGTGGCAGAAGGTTCCGGATCAGTCAAGAGAGATGTTCCCGCTCCTAGAATGTCTTTCATACGTTGCCATTGCCCTCGGCGACGCCTTCACCCCCTATGCCGAACCCATCTTTGGGCGTTGTGTCAACATCATCCACCAGAACCTGGAGCAGACCCATGCTGCCAACAACAACCCCGCATTCGACCAGCCCGATAAGGACTTTTTGGTCACCAGCTTGGATCTCCTGAGCGCCATCATCCAAGCCCTCGACAATGACAAGGCCGTCAAGCTGGTCCAGAATAGCCAGCCAGCCTTCTTTGAACTTCTTAGCTTCTGCATGGAGGATCCTGCCGATGAGGTTCAACAATCGGCTTACGCTCTTCTCGGCGACTGCTCCAAGTTTGTCTTTGACCAACTGAAGCCCTTCCTGCCCTCCATCATGCCGATCCTGCTCAAGAGGCTAGATCTCGACAACATCCTCGACGAGGAGATAGACGGCAGCTTCAGCGTCGTGAACAACGCTTGCTGGAGTGCCGGCGAGATTGCGATGCAGTACAAGAAGGATATGGCACCGTTCGTGCCGGAACTTCTTCAGCGCTGTGTCCAAATCATTTCCAACCCCGGCGTGCCTTACGGCGTCAACGAAAACGCGGCCATTGCCCTCGGCAGGCTTGGCCTTGAACACTACGAGCTCCTCGCCCCGCATCTGGCCAAATTTTCGGAGGAATTCCTCAGGGCGGTGGAGGAGATCGAGCCGTCTGAGGAGAAGGCTACGGCGTTCAAGGGATTCAGCATGGTGGTGGCGCAGAACCCGCAGGCGATGGAGAAGGACATGCTGCGATTCTTCACGGCGATTGCGAGGTATCAGGATCTGAAGCTGCAGAGCCAGATCAAGCAAGAGCTACACGAGGTCCTGCAGAACGTGAGTTGATTTCCACCGAGCCCATCCGGCTCGTCATGAGATACTAATCGTTGGTGTTGTGGCAGGTTCTCACCCTCTACCGCCAACTGATCCCTCAGTTCAACGACTTTGTTGGCCAACTCCAGCCACAAGACCAACAGGCTTTGAAGGCTACCTATGGCATTTGATTCGATACTCGGTCAGAGTACGAGGCTAGCATTGTGCTCAACACACCTTACCGCCGCCCCCACTTCGTACATGGATATGCTTCTTCTTTTGGTAGCCAGGACGAGAGAAAACAAAAAATGATATACCCAGTTGCGACTTGGATCTTTGGGTCTGGACGCATCGCATCGGCACCATGGGGGTAGTTAACCGGGGACCAAGTAGGGGTTGTTGTTTTGAGAGGGGCATGAAAGTGAATGCAATATTTCTTTGATTTCGTTGGTTGCCCGTACGCCGCCAACACTATTCTCTGTCAAAGTTGATGGCGGGAGAGAGAGGGCAAGGGGCGCGGGGAGGGACGGTAATAGTAGGCAAGCGTGACGCGATGGCTGGCACGGGGGGTTTGAGTGGTGGGAGCTAGGAGAGAACAATTTGGGAAAGGAATTATGGTTCGGCAGAGATTGCTTGAACGGTGGCTGGGTGACTGGCTATTGCTGGTGGCTTTTCGGAAGAGCTGGTGCAGAGAGATGCCCCTATCCATATGGACTGGACTGGGGCCATGGCAACGACGAGACTGTCGATAGCTTGGAGAGAGAGGAATGGAATTGCCGGCGATGTTGTTGGGGCAAAGGGAGCAAACATGGGATCGGCAGATCCTTCATCGGCAGCCCGGAGGCTATGGAGTGCGCTGCCCGTGGTGGATAAATCTGGGAAGCAATCCACGAGAATGTGTTTTTTGCTGGCTGGCTCAGGCCGGCCAGGACGGCGGTAGCACATAGGAGGGATGGGTTATGGGATTACATAGATGGCTTTTTTTACGTAGAGAACTGGTGGTGAACTGTACTGCATTTACACTTAGATAGGCCATTAGATAGCTAGTAGGTAGCTTCGCGGTGTAGTTTTAGTAAGAAAAGGCGGGTGTGGCTGGATAGCAGTCCTTGTTTGATGAGGTTCGAGGGCACCGGGTGTTTGGAATACGCTGTGTTTTGTTTACCTTTGAAGTCTTGTTTGTGAAAACCGGTGAGGTGCCCATACCCCAGTGTTTGTCATGTTGCTTCCCTCGAAAAAAGTTGTTGCACTGTTCGTGAAGTCCATTGCAACAAAGTGAAGGAAGAGTTAAGTGGAAAGGCTTTCCGCGTTGAAGAGCTTCAGGCATGAAGAAATGCCATCTTGTGATCGTACCTCTACCTCCCTCCCACAACCAAGTAACCATGGGGATTTGCCGTTTGGTATATCCAAGTGTCGATGGAGCCTCATCGACGTTATAAAGATGTTTACTTCATGTGAAGAACGAATTACGGAGGCATGGCCGAGTAGTGGGCTGAGTCGACGACTGGTCCTTCGGCCCTATCTGGAGCTATCATGTTTCTAGAAGACAGCACGACGTGATGCCATGCTCATTGCTTTAGAATTGGGCAACCCTTCTTGGTTCTGAGATGTCCCTGAACTATCTGAGGTTGGACCACGGCCGATAACCCCCTGAGGTGTCTCGTAGAGTGAGAGTAATTAGGCGCCAGCATGTAACACGGCGTGACAAACGACCTATCACATTTCAAGCGAGGAAGGAGGTTGAGTACCGAACTATAATCTTGATATCTATCTTCCGAAGAGATTGCAATGGCGTTCCGCCATTGGAGGTGCCTCAAGTTCCTGCCACCGCGCTTCCACGCCCACACTGACGACGGAGTGGTGGAATAAGCCTGGGCTAGGAAAAAAAATCAGAGACGTGAAGAGAGAGAAGGACCGGAACCCATCGCAGTTCAGGCCAACCGAACAGCTGGCATTCGCCCATCTGCCCGTTCGTCGAACAAAGGCTGCAAAATGGCACTGGCCCATTTGCTTCCGCGCTTCGCGTCAACTTCATGTTCGGTCCCACGTCCAACCTCCTTCCGGAGGTCTCCATGCGCGCCTCGAACAAGCCCCTTCTCCTATCGTATCTCACGAAACCCTATTCCCGAAATAGCTCCCTCTTCCCTCCTGCCCAACATCTCCCCCCACGGGACTCCCGTAACTGTGCCTCAAGTCCAGGGCAGGGTTCCCATTGACGCCGAAGCTTGACGGAAATAAGTCCTGATCAGGACGTGGCACGTTCGGTAGTGACCTGAGCAGGAGCTGCGCCTCGTCGCTAACGTCGCGATGGCATTGGGGAAACCGACCGTGGCGCGCGTCGGGGCGGCAGCGGCTGTATTGAAAAGGGGCCGAGGGAGACGAAGGGAGGGAGACAGGCGTGATGGGACGCGCACTCCACCCCCGAGCTCGTTCGAAACAGACAACGGGCGGACGGGATTGGATGGGAGAGCGGCATCGTCACGATGGTCGTGTCCGACTTTGGCAGCCGCGGTGGCTGTGCAAGCGCTGCTGATGGGGACGCGTTTCGGGGGAAACCGACGACCAGGGCCTCGGGGGGCCACTCAGCTGTTGGATGAGTTCCGGCGCTGGAAATTGAAGATGGGGCTCGTTCATGCGTCGCGTTTTCGCGATCTCTCCCCGTACGTACGTATGGGGATGGACAACATCGTGGGAGAGGCCGGGCATCATGGCGGGATGCTGTGCTAGGAACCCGTGTGTCCTGCGCGGCCTCACTTAGGTAACTAAACTGTCGCTGTGCTGCACCGCACTGCAACCTCACTGGAGTTACAGGGCGCCCGCCGTTGTGTTCCCGACTCGGACATTTAATTGCCCAATCAGTCGCCAGGCCTTACCCTGTTTCACTAGCAATTCGGTCCGGCACGGGGCTGGTCTTATTGAACGCCCCCAAACCCCCCTAAGGATTCCTTTGCCCATATCGGTATTCTTTCCACACACAGCATGGGAACAGCGGAAGGGCCAATTCCTCAGCGATGGGGAAGCGGTTCAGTTTCAAGGCCTAGCGCGGCGAAGAACTGACGCTGAAGTGGATTATGGCGATCCCTCGATGATTCCCAAACAGGCAATGTTTCCAAAACAGGAAGGCGGCAGAACGGATATCGGCCGGGGTTGAATGTTTAAGTCGATCCCGGTTCGATTTCCGGGTCCGCTGGGCTGCGAGCCGTGGTCCTTGATGATCACCCCCCGGATAAAGTTCGCAACGGCTCAGGCTAGTCAGGATTATGTAAATAGTAACATGATGCGCATTGGCAGTGGTTGTAACGTTTCAAGAACAATCACCAAATTGCCGGATAACGTCCGGCGTGTATATGCTGTATACTTTGCTGATGTTGGGGTGATTCGTTGGTGTGGAAAGTGAATTCCTTCGCAAGGTAGGAGCGCTCAACAGCTCGAACCGATTTGAGGAAGAGGTACGCACAAAAACAAATTTGAAAAAAAAAAAAGAAAAAAAGGCTTTCAGAAACTAGGGGTATGCCGATAGCGCTCTACCTTCTATTCTATGAGCTCTATTTTCCCCTTTCAAATCGTCTGTCTATTTTCCTTCAACTTGTTTTGTGTTTGATGGATTTATTCCCCAGTCTGCGGGCACTGTACGAACAAACCCACCCCAGCCAGGGGGCTGCACTGATCGTAGTCGGTGTATTGATGTGCTTCGTACATCTTCAGCTCCCGAAACGTGGCGGTACTCGGACCAGAAATAATTGAGACAGAACCAGGGCCGCTGCATTCTGGAAGACAACTCGAACGAGATAGGCTATGTCATAACCAGCCACAAGGTAACAGAGGCGCGCACCATTACCGAGACATCAAGCACCTACCCGATACAGCGAACGGATCTGGAGATCGAAATCCTTAAGGCATGGCTGTCGATCTCCCAGATCCTTTCTAGACCATACCGAGACCAAATTCAGCCTTTGCTGACCGCAACGCAAACCTGACGACACCCCTACAATCCCATCTAGAAAATGTATGGACAACACCTCATACACCCACCGTTAATACAGACCGATGTAACGTTATGTATTATGCATGGACCAACTTACTCTGTCAGCGAACCCCTTCCCCTGGAGACAACAACCACCGTCCGCCGGCCAACCACAACCCACGCCCACCCAAATCTACACCAACCACCACGCCAAAAAGATGATGACGCATCCAGGAACAGAGGGAGGGAACACCAAATCTCCCACCACCGCACGCAACCAGCCGGACTCAGATCGGCTGGAGCCGTCCCCGAGGCAGTGTAATCCTCCTCTGTCCTTCCCTCTCCCATCAGCAGTGGCAGCGGCGGTGGCGTGAGCGTTCCGTGCGTGCGACTCGGGCCTTTTCCCCTGCTGCTGCTGCCGGCGACGGACGTCCTGTCGAATTACATCCAACCGATGCACGCGCTCCCTCCCTCCCTCTCTCTCTCTCTCTCTCGCTCTCTCTCGACCGGGTCCCCACCCAGCCTCACCGCGCTTTGGTGTCTGACAGGATTTCCTGGGGAGGGAGAGGGGGGACACAGGCAAGTGTCCTGCGCGTGCGATGCTCTGCTGTGCTATACTGTACTGTACTGTGCTGTGCTGTGCTGTGCTGTGCTGTGCTGTACGTGCTGTACGTGCTGTACGTGCGGTGCTGTGATGTGATGGGGTGCCGCGTGGCGTAAGGCAACGTTGGGCCGAGTCGTACGAGACCGACTTTTTGTCTGGAGATAGATATGTCGGGGGCGAGCTCGTCGGGCGGCCAATGGGGTGTCCGCCATATGGCTGCTGGTCTCAGGTCCTGCCGTGCAAGATTGAGAAACAGGGCAAACTAGTGTGGCTCACCAGTCTATGGGGCGGCCTGTGCCGCCCGCGAGGGCCAGCGGAGAGTGGTGGCGGACGGGACCGGCTGGCGGGTTACCTTGTGGACGGGCTGGCTCTGAGTTGAGAGTGTACCCGTACATCCACCCGTTCATCCATCCATCCATCCATCCATCCATCCATCCATCCATCGATATGGTGGTGAGGTTACCGGAAAAGTCACGTTCTGCCGGCGAGGCCGGTGGCTGTCCGTCCCGGCCGTCTGGTTCGGGCCCGGGGTGGATGGGGGCTTACACATGGGGGGGGGGGGCGAACCTACCCGTCGGTGGGCCCCTCTTAGGCAGGGTTACACATGGCCCTTACAGCACCGTTTTTGCCGTCGAGGCAGCTGGAGGTTAAACAGGCCACGGGCTGCACCCGAATTGGTCAAAAAACGAGCAGGCGGTGAGTTATGAGGGGGCTGTGGTGGTGCATTATTGTCAAAGGTGAAGCGAGAACGAGATGAGAAAGGGGAAAGAAGGCCCTTGACCATTATGCCGTGCAGACGAGAAAGGTGGTGTTGGAAGCTCGGGATTCGACAGTTCAGTTGCGAATCTCAGCCGCGCCCAGCTAACTACCATCACCTGGCCTATCCACCCCCATCTCGCGGCCCGATGGGGAAAAAGTACGTATGTATACCAAGAGACGGCTATAAATAGAAGAGCCACTCAGAGTCGGTACCCAGGATGTGGTTTGCCCTTGTACTGCCGTTGGGCAGCCGGGGATGAATCCTTACGTCATGTCGGCAGCTACTCGGTGCTTGTCGAAAGCGTGAGTTGTGGGTGTCTATGGCTGGGATGTATGGATATCGGCATGGGGAGCCTCCGACGCTTGGATGGGTGGGGGGATTTGTGGTGTTAGCCATTGGTGGTGTTGAGGTGACAAAAAAGTCAGTCATGCAGGTTGTCCCTTTCAAGGACTTCGCGAAGTTTGTGAGAAGGCCTAGAGCCATGCAACATAAAGTGAGGAGGATAAGCATGTACTATAGCACGTCACGGTAGCTTCGATCTCGACGTGAATCTGACATGATGCTCAGCTGTTAGTCTTAGATCGGCTGTTAGAAGATTCTTTGATAAGCGAAGTGATGGTGGGGTTGACGCAGGCCGAGGGAAAAGGACCTCGATGGGAGCACGGCGACCCTTTGTGATTGGCGTGGAATTTTCTTCTCAGTTGTAACTGGTGACCCGGAGGGATTGTTCCTTGGCACCCACCACCTTATCTGCACGGGCACGGCACCGTGCCGGCTCCCGGATCAGCCCATCCTGTACAAAATGCTAATTGCTCGCTTTCACCGGAACTGCCGCCCTCGGTGGCTGATCCTTTGGTGACGCCTTAGTCATGCCCGATGGAGAATGGCCCCGGTAATGCGGTTCTTAGTGCAAGATCAACAAAAATGCTTCAACCCGAGGAATCCGACCTCGGGCGGCGGGCGGCGGCCCGAGTGTGAAGGGTGGGGGTCGAAGACTCTGGAAAAGAAAGCCACGAGAGAGTGGAACGTTGTATCGCAGCAGATCGGTTGTTGTGAGTGGTCTGTTGCTCGGTGAACATGGCTGATTGGCTGTTGTCGTCTTCTTCTTGTCCAATTCGGCCGGATGTGGCAAGCGACGTCAGAGTGGAGAAATGCCGGGAGAAGGGCGACGAGGGAAAGGGATACTGGAAGGTTATCTTCAAGAATAGCAACAGGCTATTCCCGACTCGGACAAGCCACGAGATTTTGGTGAGTCGTGGAATGACCCACGATGAGCCACCACCGACTCTCTCGCTATTGTCACCCGAGTCACGTACTGAGACAAAGAACTTTTGGGCGCAAAACACAATTCGTCGGGAGGAAGATTGGCAAGGTAAGTCATGGTGCCTGGGTGGATCGTGGCCACGTCCAGGCGATGCATCAGCTTCCCCCGCGGCGGGAACAGCGGCGTTCACGGCAAAGCGGCCCAAGCGGCCTCAGGGGACCCGAGCTTTCCAAAGGGGAAGCGAACTCGTCGAAGGTAAAAAATGTCTGGCAGAATCGCGGAATGGGTGGGGCTGGAGAGAGAGCGGTGAAGTTTGGCCCATCACCAAGCGGGCAGGTGTGGAGACGGAACTTCACACCAAGCACTGCCTCCGCCTTTTTGCCGAAGAAATGGCTTTCTTTCCCAAAGGGACGGTTGGTGAGTTTTTATGAGGTCGGCGGGGAAAAACGTGCCACTTCTTTTACAAGGTTGATCCTCCCAAATTTCAGCAATTCCCAAACGAAAGAATGGCGATTACAGACGGAAGACAGCAGCCCATTCAGCCAAATCGCGCGGGTTTGATGGGATTTCGATGCGAATGAGGGAGGAGGATTTTGGAGAATGAGGGGAAACATGCAATGTTCGAGCAGGGAACATGAGACGCAACGCGGGAAGCCAAAAATGGACACGAGAAAACCGTTACATCGACCAATCAATGGTGCAGACCCTTCAGAAAACCCCCGATCCACTAGCCATCCTCCATCGACGCAAGGGTTGTGAACAAGGGACCAGCATCTCGGAGGACGTGCAGGGATCGCTTTCGGGGTTAGCACACCTGCGATGGGCCGACAAGCCAAATGGGTGCGGAGCGAAGAAGGTTTCCAGATGGTGTTTCCACAGCCGGGGGTTGGGGGAAGGCCTCTTGGAGGCAAGTGGGTGGGTGAGTCGGCGCATTCTCCTCGGGAATTGCCTCTACATCATCATTGGTGGCGCCTCTTTTGTCTGGAGGGCGCTCCGTTCGCTGTTCTGCGATGTCCCACGCTCGGCTCGGGGCGATGCTCGGCCCCGCCCCGAAGGGCACCCTGGATACCAGACTGGAGTTGGGGTCTGCCGCCGGACAGCGGTCGATAATGGCAGATACCTGTTTGGTATAGCCGAGGTGGAAGTGGACCTGGAGAGCTCTCGGAGGTGGTTTCGAAAAGCTTTTGGGCTCCAACTCGGCGTCTCAGCAATGACATACTAGCCGGCGCAATGACTGGGTGATGACGAGGGAGGACTCCAAAAGTCATGGACCCGAGGTTGCTAATTCGGCGGGGGCGGTTTCGGCAGTCGGTGTTGTCCCACGCTCGAGAGGACCTTTCGCGTGCCCCAGACTCCGCAACCTTGTCCTGGCGACGGAGAGCCACAGCCGAGTATCCCCGGCCGTCAACTTCAACGATGCCAGAAATGCGGTTCTGGTGTGGCCTTGGCCGCATGTCCATGCAGCAACCCAAACTCTATTGGTTGGACCTTTACCGACAAGGTGCAGCGACGGGGGCCCTGATGATGGCCTGAGCCCCGCATGAGCACAGGCTCGAAGGGCGGCATTCACAGGGACTCCTCGACGAAAAATACTGCACCGCGTCGTCTGTGCGCTTCGGCGTTTTAGTCCGGGATTCAGAGACAAAAACTCATGTTTGCTTTCGAGAAGTATGGTTTTGTGATAGGGCGTTGCCGGTATTAGTCGCCTGATTTTTGCAATAGTCAAACTTGGGTTGAGTTATGACTTCCATATTCGTCAAGCAAGCACGCCCTCCCGCGCAAATAGCTGTTTTGAAGTACCTATCAGGGAAGTAAGGGAAAAGGACAGTGCAACTTCTGTATAGACTCTCCCACCGGTTATGTCCGTTGCTCTGGTTTGGCCGAGATAGACAATCAGCAAGCCACAGACAAACAAACTAGGCTAGAAACTCAAACATCGGCCTCTTTGCCCGCTGTCAAGCCTATTGACAACCCATTTGCGTGGAGTTCCTGACGGCAACGGCGGTCACCACCCCGGATTTTCTGCGGCGTGTCGCCCGGCCACCAGTCACAAAAAACAACAAGCGAGCGACTGACAAGTGCTCAATGACTCCGCCCCAACGGGCTAGCCCCAGTCGGTTAGCAGGCCCTTGCAGTTCAGTTCGCACACTCTCAGACCAAGCAGGAACTCCAAATCCGCATTTTTATTTTTATTTTATTTTTATCATTGGTGAAGGACAGAGAAGAGGTTCGACCCTCTGAGACTCTAGAGACGGATGGATATTAGACCTGGTATTGGGTCAGCGGAAGTAACTGATGGCTAACGTGAGGTGGCCGTTCCACAACCGTTAATCATCTCTCTGTCAGACAGCATGTCAAGCCAAGGAGGGCCCCGACGCTAACACGCTTGTCTGGCTCCGGGTCCAAGTTAACGTAACATTGAGAGAGACTCTCAGCTGCGTTGCGCGGGATTCCCAAGGAATCCCTCGCTGCACCGTCTGCACGACGCCGCATGCCGATCACATTGGTCAAGCCTCTGAAGTGCCCGTCCACAGCACATCCATTCTTCAACATGCTGCATGAACAAGCAGAGCACACGCTGCTGAGTGGCTTCCACGGCGCTTCTTCGATGGTAACGGAGATCCTGCACGGGCCCTAGGCAGCACCTGTCCAGGTGACCACAACCGCTCCAGATGCCGCCGGCTGCCTTCCTTGCTCCTCGGTGCAGCCGGAAATCGGCCACCCTCGACCGCTGGCTGCATGCATCACACTGACTGACTGCCCAAGCTACCGTAGTCTGATCTCGTAGCTAGCCAAGTAATTAATGACGACGTCGATTCAGAACTAGATGGGTGGTTCGATAGGTAGACGGCAAACGTGGGGTGACATGTATGTACGTCAAGCGGAGGTAAGCTTAGGTAGCTTTGTCCATCCCGCTTCTGTTCCCGCCACTACGATGCTGTGCCACTCTCGCCCGTCCTCTTTTCCTTTGTCCACCCTCCCCGCTGGATGTCACCGGCAAGACCTAAGCCTCCCTCACCCGTCGCGACTCTCGCGGGGCTGACATCGTACCCGCGCCGTTCCAACCCAAGCTCCCAAGGTGCTGGTTCCCGTTTTCCTTGTGTAGTTCCCTTCATGCGAGCAATGCCGCGATTAGTCAGGCTCCATCGATGATCGCAACAGCCCAGCTGCTGCAAATCATCATCATCGATCCCCGGTCCGGTCTCGCGCTCTCCGTCCTTTGTTCCGCGGGTAGCCCTAACCCGTTAGGGCGTGTTAGGGCGTCGACTGGGATCAGTCGCTGTGGGGCCGCCAGCACATGGTGTGTCGACTGGGACCAGTCTTGGCCGCCCTGGTGTCCCGATGGGGCAAATGCCCTTGGCTCGGTGGGTCATCGGTGGGTGGTTTCCCACGCTGCCCACCACTCAGCACGCATGGGCGCTATTTAACTGTGCAGCTCCCCCAACGGCCCCATCTCTTCCTCTCTTGGTCTCTCAGATACACCATCATCAACTGCTCCGGCTCCTCGCTGTACCTCAACAACTCACCTTCGCTTTTAGCAACCAACCCCCTAGGAAGTCCTCGTGACTCCTGTCATTCGCTTGTTTCTTATTTTGTCTCTTGTTGGAAAAAGTCTCGAAAAACGAAAACCCGCAAAACCACCCCCTCCCCTCCCCCAAAACTTCGACAATCGCTGCACCTACCGCCTTTCAGTGATGCATTCATAAATACAACCATCTGCAACCTACCTCACAATACGTAGATGCCTGTCTGCAAGGCCTAGCTCGCTCGCTACACCCACTCTCGCTCAAACCTTCTTGTATCGCTCGGACGCAAGGAGTAATCCACACGATCGCTACTGTTAACGGGAACGCTGAAAGGGGAAAGGAAAAAGAGTCTGGAAAGAACAGAGAAACGGAAGACGGCTTTTGAGATTTGATTAAGATTCGAGGATCCACGAGAGAAGGAGTTGGCTCGCTTTACTCGCTTTCTCGAATCGGCACACCATACAGCTCTCGGTGTTGTTTTTTTGATCACACCACCACCGCCCGCTTGTCACCCCATCAATCTCACTGCTCCTCCGTATATCCGGCTTCTACGCTCGCCTCACTCGCCTTCCCCCACCGCACCCTCGCCACATTCGCTATCCCGTCGCCTTTAGGGCGCGTCGTGTGTTTTCATGTTAGCATGCCAGTCCCCCGGCACATGTCACGTCCCAGCCGTTAACCGCTTCCCTAGTTCTCTCGTTAATCTTTTTCCACCCCCCTATTCGTAATAATGGCCGGTCCCGGTGGTGGTCCCCCTCGTCGGAGGTGAGTTTGCGAAATTGCCCAACGGTATCTTCTCGTTCCGCGTTGCTGACAGATTTTCTAGCCACACCAAGTCCCGGAAGGGATGCGAGACTTGGTAGGTCTTACGCAGCAGCAACGGTCTTGGCTTGCCTTGTCATAGCATGGTGTACTAACGAACTCGTCACAGCAAGCGCCGTCACATTCGGTGTGATGAGAATTTCCCCCAGTGGTAAGAGCTCCCGAGATCCCGGCTGGAAATATCACCGGGCCGTTGGTTTACTGACATTCCGCTAGCCGCAACTGCACCAAGCACAAGATCCGCTGCCCGTACAATGATGTGCCTGCCCCTGACGACAGAGCTGGCTCGCCCGACAAGCCCGACCTGATGTGGACGCCGGAGATCGAGGCTACCATCGACCAGTGGCGCCGCACCGGCATGTTCCCGTTCCCGAGCCTGGGCATCTATCCGGCACCTGCGCCTGAGCTTCTGACGCTCGAGGACCTGAGGTTGATCCACCACGTTGCCTCCATCAGCCACCAGATGCAGGAACTTGACGCCAATGACTTCACGCTCTGGACCCAGCAGATCCCCACGTAAGGCTTGGCGCTTAAACTGCAGACACGCGCTTGTCGTACTAATGAACTTTCTAGAATCATCAGGATCGGCGCGACCCACCGCTATGTCTTGCACTCCCTGCTCGCCTTCTCCGCTATGCATCTCGCGTACCTGACTGGCTGCCCAGCCGTCGGAAACATGGCGTATGAGCATCGCGGTGTCGCCTTGAAGGGACTGCAGGAAGCCATCAGCACCTTCTCTCGGGAGACGTCGGACGCGATCCTCGCCGCTTCGCTGGTCCTCTCCTGGCAAGCCACAGATTGGTAAGCAATATAATGCACCTATCCGAACTCCACCGGCGGGAGACTAACCCAACCTGCTTCCGTAGGCGGAGCTGGACCCAACTCATGCAAGGAACCTCATCTGTAAGTCGCACCAGGTACACCACCGGCTCGGGAACGCACACTGATAAATATCGCCTAAAGGTCATCGAGGCCATGGATCCCTGGAAACACGAGTCGCAGTTTGGCGACTTCATCGCCGAGAGCAGCACCTTCCCGACCGCCCCGCCCTCGCCCACCCCGGACCACCAGCCCAGCCAGCCGCGCGAGGATGACATGGAGGCGTTCCAGCGCGTCCTGCAGCAGCTCCAGAAGCTCGAGGCCTTCCTCAAGAAGAACCGCGAAGACACGAAGCCGGTCGCCCAGCTCATCACCTTCATGAAGGGTTCCCGAAAGGTCACCTCGTCCCTGTCGGTGGCGCAGCAGTTCGACCGCCTGAAGCCCCTGCGGACTTGGCTGTTCTGGCTGCCCGTCATGTACCTGCAGCGGAATGGTGCATCGCCAAGCGCCCTCGTCGTGATTGCCCACTACTACACGGCCGCCCTCCTGATGGAGCGTCTCTTCCCCGAGATCGGCGCCGCGTACTTTGGAAGCATGACCATCGGTCCGGTCGAGGAGATTGCTCGCCGCCTCTATGCCGTCCGTAACTCGGGACATCTTGAGGGAGACCTCCAGACCCCGCTCAACTTGATGGAGTTCCCTATCGAGACGGTCAACGAGTTCCGCTCCCGGATGGGGTGGGTCCAGCCTGCGCGCACGCCCTCGTTCCCCCAGTTTGACCAGTTCGACCAATTCGACCAGCCCAACTTCTACATGAACGAGGGCTCGCCGGTGATGTTGTCGGCAAACTTATCTTCTGAGTACCTGCCGTATGGGGACAATGTGGCTTTCAGCTACAGCACCGAGGACTTGTCCGTCATCCCCGAGGCCGGCCCTGCCAGCGCTGTCAGTCCGCTCCAGCTGTCGTCGCCGTACGTCAACCCGCACTACCTCAACATCCCGAGTCCGTCGTTCGGGGGATACAGTCCGGCTTCGAGCACCTATGGAGACTTTGGCGACGGATCCCCGATCGTCTACAGCGATGCTGAAGACAATGGCACCTACGGTTACACGGCCACCTCACCAATGCTGGGCGGTTCCAACACTTATGGCGTCGGGTTCGTTTCTCCAATCCAGACCGTGTGGACCTGATCCGGGTTGCACCAAGGGCTGCTAGCCGCGTCGCGCAAGGGCAAACGTGATTAACCATGACGACCAGGCCCTCCTATCTGAGCACCAGTCCGGATTGCCCGCCTCCTGAGGATCTCTACGCTTGGCTGCCATCCCAACACCCGGCCCTTGTCCCTTCGCCCTTCCTGAGCCCCGAGGAGTCCTTTCAACCCATTCCGGAGTCGCCCAGCTCTCAGTTTACCCCTCTGGCCACTCAGGAAGGAGGTGGCATGCCTGCCAACAACACCTTGTTCTCCGTGCCACCCAACCTCCAGGACAAACAAAAGGGCAACGGCGCGTAGCGGTGCCATTCCTCGCCCCCCGCATCTGGTTACGAATTTTACGACCACTTTTCCTTAATCTTTGTCAAGCATCCGAGCTGCTTGCTGGCTGCTTTCTTCACCTCAACACAGACGCAATTGTACACCACCTTCCTTTTAGCGATCACGCACGCAACACAACTCTCGAGACAGCAGCAACCCCACGGCATTATCATGACGTGTTACACTCCTTTTTACGACTGCCACGATCTCACCCTAATATTATTTTTGCATCTTGATGCAACGACGCTCCTTTGTCACAGCAATCATTCCGAATGAGATACCCAACTCACGACACTCCTTTTTTTACAACCGGCTGGTCCACTCGCAACAAACTATAGACTTTCCTTTAGCATTTCCGCGGATCGGAACGGTTAATCATACCCCAACGGGGGATAGACACTCCTTTGACGACACATACATACTGTACCATGATGAAAGGCATTTCATCGGGATAGAATTTCGCTCCTTACGGATGATCACGATACCCAACTGCATAGCGACTGTTGTTTTGGCTTGGTTTCGCTGTTTGTTTTCCCTTTTTGGATTTTGGTATATCGGAGGACTGGGAAGCAAGACCGTTGACGGGAGTCGGTTTCCGTCGGGGAAAAAACGTGGAATTGTCTTTGTTATTGGATTTTATGGTGTTCTCTGGTTGCATTGGGCGGCGTTTACATCGGGCTATTGTAGTATCCTGTTGCACACACTCCTGTGTTGGATAGTATGTGGAGGAGAGGAGGGAAGTAATAGGGCCCACAGGGTGATGGACCGCTCGGGTTGTGGGATACCATCTAATTAATTGTACGAGAAGCGAAGGATTAGTTAACTATACCTGTGTTGGGTAATCTGAGTCTCTATTCTCCTCGGTGCCTACTATAAATCTCATCTTGCTTGGTGTGCATCTGAGTGACACCACTTCGTGCCCAACCCCATATCACCACACTGGCTTAACCTCTGGCTCACTCGGTAAACTCGTCCTGTCAGCCTATCTCCTGTCGCCCCTTGTAGGGGTTGGCATGATATTGGTGGTGTTCTGACCAGTCAGTAGCCTTGGCTTCTTTCAACTAAAACATTAGAGTTAACGTTTGTCCTGTCGCAGAGGACAATACTTCTTGGCTGTTTGCTATGCTGCGACGAATCAAAATAAGTCTTGAACTGAACATCATTATAACGTACCTAGCTTGGGTGACCAAGGTCACGACAGATGGGACAAAAGTCCACCAATGGGACCTCCGTGCCACCCCGTAGCCCAGCTGGTGCTTTCGGGGGGGGGGGCGGTGTGTGTGGGGGGGGCCGGCGGCGCTTGCTTCTGTTTCTCGGATATGAGAGCAAGATGATGGAAAGGATGGCGCCTCCGAGTGGGAAGCACGGGAGCAGGACTTGTCTATTACCTCTCCTCTGGTGAGCCGTCCCTTTGTTATTATGAAGCGGGCAAGACCCGGTGTCATTACCCACGGAAGACGGTCGTGAATTTTGTTTCGGAGGGAGGGGGAGGGGGGCCGCGGCAAACCTCCGGCAGCGTGGTTTATTTTTCTTAGGACTTCTCGAAAAAATTCCCTACCAGTTTTCCCCCTTTAAAGAGTTGGAAAGGAAACCCCCATACCGGGTGGGTTTTTTTTCTCGTTCGGGGGGGGGGGGGGGGGGGGGGAGGGGTGGTTATGGGTGCAATGTTATCGGTCTCCGTCTTACGTTTCGCCTTCCCTCGGCTGTTCTTTTTGTATCAAACGGGACATCGAGATCATGGAGAGTGTCAAACCAGGAGATCACGACCCCCCGTCGGGCTTCCTAAGCCACTTCCTTCTCCAATCCACTATATGAGATGAATGACGTTCGGAAACCATTATAACTCAGGGGCATTAACTTAGGGGAAGAGTGAGTAACCCCATAGGAGTTGGCGGATGTTAATACCCCTGAATCACCGCAAATGCAAATACGTCCTCAATATATACCGAATGCTTTTGATTCCATGTTACAGTATCAAACCAAGGAGCCTGCCATGCACTGTGAAAACAACTCCGTTACCGCTTGCTTTGCTCAAGAAGAACCCGAACTACCATATCTAGGTAAGGATCACCACACCACCCCCAACCCACACAATAAGGAAAGTGGCGTGACCACGCCGTGGTACCGTGTGCCCAATTTCAAAAGAATCAAATGCCCGTCCGCTTCTTAACTCCGTGCCTATACTGTTTGTTTCCTGCCAACCTCCCGACCACCCAACCAGCAACTTCTGTTGGGGACAAACAGCATCGTTTGCCCCAGGGGTATAATTTCGATTCGATTCGACTGCTCCAGAAGAAAACACCAACACCAGGCCAAGTTGTGCCGTTTACCTCGCCCCCCTCGCGCTTCTTCCGCTCCGGGCACTATCGCTCCTATCTCTCCCAGCCCCTTGCCGGATCGCATCTTGGTATGTAGGAATAGGAGGGCTTGGCGGGCCCCGAGCCTGGGGCGGGGTTGATCTGTTATTGTTACTCCTGACCGTAGCTGACGACGCCCCGCGGCTTCTAGTCAGACGGATCAAGGGCGCATTTTCGCTGTCGCTGCTGTGTCTCTGGCTGCTGGGCTCTTCGGCATCGGAGTGTTCGGGGCTCGTGTATTCCGGGGGTGGCCGGTTATCTTGATGGTGTAGGCCAAACCCGAGGACGGTTGGCTGGTGGCCCTGATCTTGGTTGGTGTTGCCGAGCGATGAAGCACTGCCGCTGGGTTCACCGTCGTCATCGGTTGGTACTAGGTGGGCGAGGGAGATATCGGTGGGGCTGCGAAGCGGCCCTGGACTTGTGGGCGAAAGCATCCGGAAGTTACCCGACCTAGAACGGGTGTGGCCCCGATCTGAGGCGTTGGGGCCCTGCCTGTATAATTGAGCGGAGTGGCTGTACTGGTGGCCGCGAGCCGGTGAACTTGTGAAGCCGTCCTTTGTACCCGTCGCAAGGAGAACGGTATCGGCCTCAACGCCATAAGGCGGAGGCGGCGCCAACGAACCCGTCATAGGGGCAAGACCCCATTTCTTTACGTTGGCCTCGATGAAGACGAAGCCGGCCTGGCCAAAGTTGACGTGCACAATACACGGCCCGTTTGCACCAATTGATGGGAAAAAGTTCTGTGATTTCAGACCGTGCATCGCGTCCTCCAACTTTTTGCCGTTTCGAGTGAAGAAGATAGTCCCGGTCCGAGGCCGGTAGCCGACGCCAATAACGTCACCCTGGACGATCTGGGGGCCATAGGGTGTTCCGTAGAAGGGTTGGTTGTGGCGGCGGGTGCCATTTGAAATATAAGCAACCGAGGACTTGTGGAAGCCTACTGCTGTTAGCCGGGGTTGTTCGGCGCAAAAGGGGTGACGACGCCTTACCTGGTAACCTGAAGAGCGGATAAGGTTTGGTGGCCATTCCTATGCTCAACAAGGTGTTGTCGGGCTTTTCATAGATCTTTGCTTCCCAGTAGTAAACGTCGTTTTGTTTCGGGACGGGTAGGTTGCTCATAACGGTGCACTCAGAATCGAAGAACTCGATTTCGGTCCTGGCCTCCACGAAGCAGTTGGCGATTTCCAGCTCTGGTTCAAACTCCCACGCGGAAACGCCCTTCTCCTGGATGGCCAAATATTGTGATAATGAGATATCAGTTTGCACGGACTCGGGAGGATTTGCGGCAATGAAAACTGTTCAACACTAGTCAGCGCGTGTTCATGGCCGGGGTAAACCAGGAACCAAAATCGACATACCCTTGGCCCTGAGATATTCGGTCCTCTCCATATCATCCATGGTCTCCAGGGCCTCGGCCTCCTCGCGCGCAAAGGCCTGCTCGTCATCGTACTCGCCGGGTCGACCAATGCGGTCGAGGAATATGCGTCCGGACGCTGTGTATCGGAAGAAGTAGAAGACTAGGAATATGGTAAGGATCAGGATTGCCGACCCGAAGGACGACAGGAGGCCGATGACGATGCCATTCAGCCCCGGGCTGTAGTTGGCCATTTTGAAAATAGGATCAAGACCGCCGGATCTGGAAGGATATTTGTCGCTTTCTTCGGTCTTAGGACTCCGGCACCCGATCGAACCGCGGCCGCCGCCAGGCAGCAAACGATCGCACGATCGCCAGGTTTAACACAGCCCCTATGTTCCTCCACGGGCGCTAAAAAGGGGCGTCGCAATTCTTTGCGATATAGAAAATTGCAGTTGCTGCCCTGCCCCGTAGGTAATCACAAGGAGTCGTCGAGAAGGAAGCGGTGGTCTGGTTCGAGGTCTCGAGGTATCGCGGGCGCGGCGGGAGGTGGCGATCGCAAGAAGGGTTGCTCGGGCGCAGCTGAGAAGGCGATCGCGTGTGGTTCGTTGCGAGTCCGTGGGACACAGCAAGTTCAAGGTTCTGAAGACGTCAAGCGTGTGATCAGACCCCGACGGTGTGTCACGCTGGCGGGGGGGGGCGACGCAGCCAAGCATCAAGCAGCCAAGTGGAGGGATGACGAATGGATCAGAGAGAAGCAAGGAAATAGCAATAACTAATGGGAGGAAGGCACCGCCCGCTCGTTGATGTGCGCAATGAACTGAACTGCAAAGGCGAAGATTGAAAAAAGATGAAAGGAAACGAAAATCAAGAAGGCGAGCAGAACACAAGAGGTGCGCAGGATGGCATTCGGAGAAATGATGAAGGAGAGGACCGTCGTTGGACGGGATAGATGGGGATTGCCTGATGTCACTTGGCGGCGGACGGAATCCCAGTTGGCCCTCAGACCGAGCTCGCCTGGCAATGCGCTGGGCTGGGCTTGGCCGCAAGCGACCGTTTACTGTTGGTAGCCTATCAACAAACTGTGAAGGATAAAGTGTGGAGCAGTTAGGGTGCTATCAGGTGGCGGGGAAGTGCTTGGCAAAGGGATGGATTCCGGGTCTTGCAGTGGCAGATGACGCCGAATGGGACGTTCGGAGATCGCTGGATCAAGGTCCCTCTTTTTGGTCATGTCCCTCTTCCTAGTCAGGGCAAGCCCCTCGACACAACCGACCAAACATCGAACCAGAAACGGGTCGGGGCCCATTATCGGACCATCCTCGAGTATCGTCAGGAACGGATTTTGAGCCTCTTTTATTACTTGGGACGACGCGACGATGCGCGGGTCTATTCCGGATGCATAAACTCGCTGGAGCATTCGTATCCCTGGTTACCTGCCTAGTTACCTCGAGCGTCAAGCGTGGGCGCCTGAATGGGGCGGCAGTGCTCAACGCTGCCCTGCGGGACCTGGAAGGGGCTGGACGGGTTTCAGAGGCGGCACCACGGCGGCGTAACAGACCCAGAATCAGCATGTTTCGGATCTCGTTGCACGGGTGGCCTTGTTTGGTAGCCGCCTGCAATTTTGCGATTTTACGATTTTAGCCATCCCCATCTTCAAACAATAAAAGAGCGCCAACATGCCCGAGGGCGCCGGCTCCGTTGTCGATCTCCAAGGGAGCCAAACAAGCCGTACTTCGTACAGTAACGCATGTGCGCAGCACCTGACGTGGACAAACAGACGTCCTTCGTGCTTCGCCATCCAATCCTGTTGGGTGTGTTGTCGTCAGCTCAGGGATTGCTAGTGTTGGTCATTCCGTGGGTAATTTATCCCTTGCACGTCTGCCGATAAGCAATATTCCACCCAGCGCATCCTTCTTTGAAGAGATGGAGTGTACATACAGTACAATTACAAGACCCGAGGATCTGTCGAGTCTCCCGGAGCCCCCATGCGCCGGGCCGGCCGGAGAACAGGGTTGGCCGACCGGCCCGCCCGGTCTCAGATCTGCGCCAGGGTTTCCGGTCGTCCACCTCACAACGGCCATGTTCACGATTGAACTCCCTCCCACAAGTGATACATGAGAGATATGATTTGTATGTACCGTAGCTAAAATCAACCAAATCATCCGCCGCCCTGCTCGCTTATCCGTATCGTACTCTACATGAAATTCCTTGACCGACATGATCCACCCAACACGCTGGCCATTGCCGCAAAACGCCCACATAATGAGAACCCTTGATTCCGAGCCATTCACATCTCAATCGTCAACCCGCATCCCTGTGTTTCATCAACCATCTCCACCATAAGGTAAATCCCAGCTCCGAATCACCGCCTAGGCAGCACTATCCCGGTTCCTCCTCGCCCCGGCACCACCCCGCTTCTTCCTCTTGTCCTCGGCATACGCATAGTCACTAACCGATGTGCCCGTCACCGAGCTACCGGTGGGGATGTGATGCGGGTGGGTGTACACCTTGGTGCCGGCGTCGCTGGGCGCGCCGACCTCGCTCTCGACCCAGCTGCCCGGGGGCCCGCGCGAGTCCTCGCTCGGAGCGGGGGCGGTGCGGCTGTGGCGCACGCCCGAGCGCGAACGAGCCCGCTTCTCCCTGTCCGCGTAGTCGTTGGTGCCCTCCGAGGCGTACGACGACCCGCTGACGACGGTCTCGGCGGGCGCCTCCTCGATGCGCCGCAGCGCCATGGTCTCATCGGCGCCGCGGGTGAAGCTGAAGTCGCGCTTGACCCTGGACGAGGCCGCTGCCGCCGCGCGGCCCTTCTCTTGGAGACGGCGGGCCTCGGCGCGGATGCGCTCGTTCTCGCGCGTCGCGTTCTTGTCAGCCGTGGAGTAGACCTTGCGGATGCGGCCCGCGGGGCGCTCGCTGGCATCCTTCTTGGTCGGTGTGGTGGTGGGTGTGCGCTCGCGGTTGGTGATGAGCTCGGATGTCACCGTGCTACCAACGTCGGTGGCACCGGCGCCATCGGCGTGGCTGGGGCTCATGGTCGACCAGCTCGGGTTCGTCGAGCCGTCCCACTCGGAACCTTCCGCCTCGCGGTTGATGCCACCCACGCGGGCGGGCTTCTCATGACGGTAGTTGCGTAGGTGTTCCTGTGCTTCGGCCTCTGCCTCCTCGTCGACGATGACACCACCATCAACCTTGCGGCGGGATTTCTTGCGTTCTTCCTTCTCGCGCTGTTTCTCTTCACGCCGGCGTTCCTTTTCGCGCTCCTTTTGCTCGCGCTTCTTGCGACGCTTCTCGCGGCCAGAGAAATCCGACACACCGCCAGTGATACCGGTGATACCCGTCGTCGCGCTCACCACCGTTGTTAGATCGTCACCCGTTGTAGTCGTGTGGTCGTCAACATCCTTGTAAACACTACCGCCGCCGAGAACAGTACTCTCTGTCGCATCGGAGTAAACGGTGCCGTTAGGGCCCTTGCGTCGCAGGACAGTGGACTTGTAGTCATCCCAATCGGTTTCCTTAAAATAGAAGCCACCGTTCTTCGCCCAAAAGAAGAACCAAATGCCGACCAAGACAAAGCCAACGCCGAGGAGACCAAAAACCGCAAAAACGGCGTTGTTGTTGATATCCTGGGGATGCAACGCGCCCTCGTCTGGGCGGTGATGTTCCTCCGACGGGTCTCGGGCGAGAAGTACTGCGCGCGCAGCCAGCGGGCCGAGCCTCGCTACATCGGATCGGCCGAGGAGGTTGTTGAGAACTGCAGGCGCCATGATGTTGTGATGGCGATTGCAAGTAGTTATTCGGTAAGCTAGCTGGCTTCGCTGGTTTAACCAGCCAAGCGGAACGGTGAGATTGTCTATGCAATCACCAAATGAAAAAGAAATTGACGACAAGAATAAAACGTAAAAGACAGCGGGCGGCGATGAGCGCAGCTTGCCTGCCCCAAGTCAAAGATTTGGTGGTGACGCAGAATGGCAAAGCGAAAGAGGATCGTTGGTCGCAGGGGGAATGTTGTGGTTCGACTGGTTAACCCAGAAACCGGGGGGCTGGGACCGGGGTGGTCGAGGAGGCGGGATTCCTCCAATTCAAAGGCGGGAAAAGCCAAGGCAAAACAACAATTGAACAGCAGACAGCAAGACGAATTAAGGTGCTGCGCCGCCGTCCAGGGGTGCCTGATCTGTTTTGTCGAAAGCCCCTCCTGTCTCTTCTGAACTCACAAGAGAAGGGATGACGTCGGTAAACAAAAGCGCAGGATTGCCTGGCAACCGCTTAGCAACAATCTACACCCAATCAAACTCGGGCTTGAGGGCTGAAAAGATCCAGAGCCCCAACCCCAACCCCATCCCTTGCATCCTCACGTTAACACACTCTGGCCAAAAAAAAAAAAAGCCGAACTCGAAAGGGAGAAAAGTGAATCAACAAAAGAGAAAGGATAAAAAAAATAAAAAAAGAAGAGGTAAAGAAAACCAAGAAAAATAAATTAAATAAAAGAAACCGAGTCAAATAAAAAGCCGACTTTGAGATTTCAAATGGTTTTTCTTTTATGGTTCCTCTGGTCGAAGGTTTCAGCGGCACCTACACTTGGAGTTCGGCTTTTTTTGGCCAGAGAGTGGTAGAATGCCCGTTCTCCATTCCCGCCAACCCAATTCATCAATCCGCCTCCCATCGCAGGCGGCTCAAGACGGTTCACTGCCGTGTCCGGCAAGTCACAAATTAATTGCCCACCCGAAACAGTCGCCCGGACTACCGCGCTGCCAATCTTCCCAAGAAAACCCACCAAACAGGCCATCTTCGCATTGCATTGCAAAGGCTAATGAACGCCACACTCAACCTTCCGCCCACCAGTCCCCGCTCGCCCCCTCCTTTCGGCAAACTAACACGCGGCACGACAAACGGAGAGGAGAGCCGAGGAGCGGAGAGGAGAGGAGCGGAGGGGAACTTTCGGCCGCCGAGGCGCATCCAAAAACAGCACCGGCCTCTCTCGGAACGGGCGGGAATCAACCAACTATCATGTTGTATTCGGATGTATTCAGTCAGGTCAGTCGTATAACGAACTAACCAGAACTCGGGGAGGTGCAGGCAGAGCTCCTCCTATTTCATGATCTTTCGTTGCTCTGCTGCGGTACCCCGCGGCAGGGCTCTACTAGTCGGTGCCGTACACGTGGTGGTCTGATGGGGCCCCCTTTGGAGACAGGTCTGAGAAGCCCGCCTCACTGCCTCACCGCAACACCTAACTACACCACTGCATGACCGAGGTTTCTGCGCACGCCACATAACCATGTCCGTCTCCACACCGGCGAGCGGCCGTTGCTGCGGGTTTGCTGTTAATGTTATGTACCTGCATGTTCTGTGGGAAAACCAAACCATGGCCTGTACGGAAGTCCCTACCAAAAGAATTGGCTCACCGCCTTCCGGATTTTAGTGGTTCTGCGTGGCAGAAAAAGCCCCATAGGCACTAACAGTTTAACGGGCGGTGAGCCAATTCTTTTGGTAGGGACATCTGTAGTCCACTCCGTTCGCGCCCTGTTGCTGGTCAGCCCTGGTTTAGCGTCTCAGGTCTGTGTCACCAACCGCCGGGGTCATCGACTGGCGCGCGGCTGGGTGTCGGCGACGGGGAGTCCGTCATGCGGGGTGTGTTTGTAGACTGGGTCCATGTTACAGGTAATTATAGGCTTTGGGCAAGGAGGCAACGAAGACAACGGGCAACGGACCGAGAGCTTAGAGGCAGGGGTTATAATTGACCATCATCGAAACGATCGTCGATGATGAATATCCACAAAGAATGAAGCCAAGACCTCCAGATTCAAGGTTGTATGCAGGGATACCTCTCGAGGTGAGTCGACCCACGGCCATCAACCGGACTAGGAATAGTTGGACTCCAATACCGACCAGATCTCCATCCTCCTTCACTACCCCTCCCTACCTTCCATCAGGTCCTCCATTCCGTCCAAGAATGCAAATGCCAAACAGTGCTACTTCAACAATGGGGTATGAGGTGAAGCCAGAACACAGCATGACACAGCCAGGTGTCTATGTAAAATAGGAAACGTCGTGAAAGGGTTGATGTCAATCTTGTGGCGGACGAAAAGTAAGAAGAAAAGTAGCATTCCCAATCCCTAGCACCTCTATACATTTCCCAATACCAGCTTCAAAAAAAGCCAACGTGAGAGAGGTATCAAGGTTAAGTGGTGTCCATATTAAAGGCTTCCTCCACTGCTTTTTCCCATGCCGTGCCATGTTCGGGGTATAAGTAAATCGCTTTTATCTCAGCAATCTCAAATCTCGAGAGACCCGAACGTAGATATAAGAAGAGCGGACGCCATGTTTTAGCACCGCGGTAGGATACAACAAAGAGCCATGCCTATCCAAAGTGCAGGAAGGAAAAACGAAACGAAGTGGTATAAGAAACAAAACTGCCAATCCAAAAACAAAAGGTATTGCCCCCCCAAGCAGCAAGAAATGAAGCAAAGCAAATAAGCCAACGCTCGCTAGATCATATCAGATAGGTGCCGCCAAGAATAACCAAAGCTAAAATAGAAAATGCCGGCCGTTATGCACACGGAAACATTATCAGCGTCATTATCATGTCTCGAACGTCTCGGCTCGTTGTCGTCATCGTCAAGTCCGTTTTCACCCAACATCGCCATTCGCCTTCTTCGGTGGCCCGTTATAGTGGTGGACCGCCAAAGTACTCGCCAGGCCGCGACGAGTACGACGAGGGATATTCGGGATACGGGGGTGGTGGCGGCGGCGGCGGCAGCGTCGGGGCGTATGTGGTGTACGCGTCATAATCAGGGCCGCCGTCATACCTGGGCCCAGCGTCGTACCGACCGACCTCATACTTGGGAGCGGCAACGTCGTACTTGGAAAAGGAGCGGGAGAAAGACCTTGGGCGAGACTTGGCCCGCGACGTGGCTCGCACGCGTGACTGGGTGGGGATGTCTACCCTGGTACGGCGGTCGTCCTGGTCAACCCTGGTCCGGCGATCGTCTTGGTCGACATAGCTCGACCTGTCGCTGCCGGCAGCTCGAATTTCGGGGTTGCCACTCCTTGACGTGATGTTGATTTCGGCTCCGTCCTGGCACTGCATCTCTGTGTTGCCGAATTTGAGCACCGTGCTCCCTTTCACGCGAATTGTGACATCCTCGTCATTATTGGGCGCTGTAGACCTCGTGGTCCGCGTCGTTGCTGACTGCCTGTAGTCGCTCTCGTCATGGCTCCCCGAGCTCCTGGTGGACCTGCTGCTGGTGCCGCCACTCTTACCCGCCTTCCGAAGCGTCTCTGCTGTCAACGGCATTTGGGGCACACCGATGATATCGTCCTGGTAACGGCTGGCCTGGCGCATTTTGTCCTCGTATGCACTGCCGGAAGAGATCGAGTTGCCACCGTAATACGAATTGCGCCGGCGGTGCCCAGCTACTTCGGTATGCTGATCAGGCATATCGTACCCCGACTCGGCACCAAAGCTGGGCCGCGGACGGAAAGGGATCGGACTGAAGTCATAGCCCACTGGCGCCAGCGGTGAGAGGTCGGAAAAAAGAGCATTGTCCATGTCGGGGTCATGCTCGTCAAGATCACCCCTTCGCCTGGCCGGGGTGGATGGCGGGCGAAATGGCATTGCGGTTGGACGAGCAGACGAAGGTCTGCGTGGCGGAGGCATCGCCCTCTTGTCGTCATCGTTCTTGGATACTTTTCGAGGCATCGAAGGCCGCCGTGTTAATGCTTTCTCGACAGGCTCTTCGTAGTCATCGTACTCAATGGCACGGGGTGGCCGAAAGCCCATAGAAGACTGTGGGCGGGACCCAAAACGAGACTCAAGCGGGCGGGCGAAGTAGTCCGACGTCGGAGGAGGAGGAGGGGGGTGGTGCATTACGAGAGGGGATGACGATGGGGGGCCGAAAGGTGATGGTCCGTGTCCGTGTCCCGGTGGTCCATGTCCCGGCCCTGGTCCCGGCCCTGGGCCCATCCACGAAGGAGGAGGGAACGAAGTGGGCGGGGAAGGGCCCGGTGTTTGGTTTGCATAAAATCTCGCGTTGGCTGCTGGTGGCCTCGGTACGGCATAAAAGCTCGTCGGCCTACTTTGGGCTCGAGGCCGTGAGATGGCTGGGGTGACGGTGGGGTCCACACCATAGTAGGCAGACTCGTCTCTCCTTGGTATGCCTTGCGCCGTCTTAGAATGCTTGACCGGTGGGCGTGAGGCAGCCATGAGCGCCTTTTTGCTAACCGACTTCTCCCGATCCTTGCTCGACTTCTTGAGCGAGTCTCTCCTGGGGTGTAGTGTCGAGTCGGAGTCGGTGACGATGCTCGTGGTGATAGGGGAGGAAGAACCTCTCCTAGCCTTCTCCCTTCTTGCTCGGCCGGTGTTGGGCTGCTCTTTCGCTGGGCTGCTTGGGGCAACCGAGTTTGCGTAACGGCCCGTTCCCTCGATGATGTTATCAAATTCGTCGACGTCTTCAACGTGCGCGACTATTGTCTCTGCTCGACCCGACATGGCGGTACGAGCCCACGCCCGTAAAAAGTGGTGTCGTTATAGCTCAGAATCGAGTAGGTATGTGGTTGTGAGCGAGGCAACAATGCCTCAAAATAGAGACTGCCCAGTGTCAGGGCGGGGCGGCAGTCGAACAGCGGCTCGGCGGCAAAACGGCCAGGTGGGTTTATCGCTTCAGGTAATCGCAGCCGTGACAATGTGGTCGTTGAAAGAAAATGGTCAGGCGCCGGCAGCCGGTGATAATAATATTGTGGTCAACGACGGCAGGGTGCGGTTCGACATTTGTTGCTGCAAAGTTGGGACGACAGTGAACCAGGTAGGTAGGGCGGGAAATTGGGATGAAGTGTAATGGGACGGCGACGAGTTTTATTCCACAGCGGGGGTGTGCACCACAACGTAAGTGGAGGGAGCGGGAACGACCAGCAGGGGGGGGCTGTTGCTTGGTTCGTCTGGGGAATGGAACTTGGGAAGCGCTGACAAGCGGGGCAGCCCTAGACAGCTAGGAGACGGGATTCCTTCTCGACTGCGACATGTAACTAATATGGGCAAGGAAACAATAGCGAACATAATATGCTCGGAGCGGGAACCGGCCGGGCGACGAAGTTGATTAACATCACGGTTTCCATTGCATCTCCAGTCCAGAGGTGAGGTGGTTGTGGGCTCGATCCCTTGATGGTTCGTGCTGGCCCGCTGCAAAGGTTACTTCCATTCATCCAGTCTATACCTGGGATGTACTTCAGTACCAACCGAACTCTGATCTCCGGTTGAACAGCAAGCAAGCCACTTTGATGCGAAGCTGCCGCTTGCGCTGCTGGCTGCGGGCTGATGCTGGTTGCTTTTCCTCTCTGCCTGTCTCGTGGGGGGGTCGAAGCCGAAAAAGAATCCTGGCGTGCGGATCAGTTTGGTCAGCATCAACCCTGCCACCCTGCACAGATCCAGGGCCGCATTCAAGATCTCCCGGCCAGGGAGTCGAGAAATGGCCAAAAAAGAAGGGCACAGAAAATACCAGACAGGCAAGGGGATAGACGAGGCGAACCAACAGCGGGGCTGCGCAAGTCTGTTCAGAGACCTCACCCAGACTCCCGTCGCCCTGCTCTGCTTGCTAGTCTGCCGGGGCCAGCAAAGTGATGCTTCGCGGGGTACTGCATGGATGTACCTGTGCACTGTGCCAACTCAGCCCGGGACGAAGCAAGTCCCTTAAACGGGGCAGCTCGTCTGGATGGGTGACTTGGGGAGAGCTGTGTGGTCGAAGCTTTGCGTAAGGCCTCAACCGGTGGGTATCATAGTGGGGTTGCTGGCCTGAACGGACACGGCACGGCGAACCTGAGCCCGGATTGGGGAAGCTGCTCCCAAAAGCGACCATTGACCAGCTGCCCTCCCACCCTTTCCCCCTCTGCTCCGCGGTCTTCGTGCCCGACAACGCTCTTGGGTATCAACTCGCTCGTGGGCACAACGACAACAAGGAAATCTGTCCTCAGTAAAAACAGGCTGCAAACCACCATTGTGCGGGAACGCCGCGCGACAGGGATTTCCTAGACTGTCGTTGATGTTCTATGAGTGGAGGATTGGAACCAGACTGAAACATCAAGAACATGAGGCGGGAAAGGATGGGAGCCCAAGTTCCATGAGCCGCGCACCACCAGATGGCGACTTTGATGCCTTGCGAATTGGAAGAGACAAGCCCGATTATCCTTTCCTCGGCAGCGGGCAGAAGACCGCAGGCCAGCACACCATTTTCGCCCATGCCTAGAAAGCTTGCGGCCCCCATTGGAGCCGTCGGGCGTGGAATGCAGTCTTCTGCAGGCCAATGCCCGCTTGACGATTCCCATAGGGCAGCGGCCCGAGGGAGTCAAGACTAGTCCTGCGCATTGCAGTCATCGGTCTCGATATCTGGTCTGACGCCGCCGTGCTGCAACCGCAGCGTTGAAATGTCGCCATTTCCAAGTTGCTGCATCACGTTGCTGCATCGCGATAACCCCCAGTTTTCAACCGCAGCTTCGCTCCTGCACGACACGGCGACACACACGGCTATACCGGGCGATGCTAACTCGAGAACTGTTCGTTTCCCCAGCGACCCGGAGCACCGGCTGCCGATCATCTCATGCGGGATAATTGCAGTACGACGACGAGTTCTCGATCGAACGTTCCCCGGGGCCGCTTACATACCCCAGCCTGTCAAGGGATGAGACAAACCCATCGTCGCGGGAAGCAGCTTGTTTTGGGTTTCATTCTCGCCGTCCCCATCCCATTGGCCTTGCTCGTCTCGAGTTGATCTGTAACAACCAATGGTTCTCGACTTATACCCTCCAACACGGCGTTAAGCGCATTGAGCCATTCACCAGGATCCCTAGATGAACGTTTGACACAGGACAACTCTGGAAAGCAATCTCCTGGTTGATTGGACTGGTCGCCACAACAACAAGAACTACTCGGCCATCATCCTGCGAGAGCAGCTGCATATGATATGGTATTGTTAATCAAGCAGGACAATCGAGTGGCTCCGGCCAGGGTGACATCAGCCCGGCATCCGAATCTCTCCGCAGGTTCTCCAAACAGCCAGCCACCAGCTGCCGTCGAGTGCGCTTGTGAGTCAAGTCGACATCGCGGGTAGCCCTACTAACCCGAGTGGGTTTGGCGTAAAATCTCCGCATCAAGACGCACTCCCACGCGGGATCGCTTTGCTGCACGGAAACTGGCGCAGTCGAGTTGGTCCCGTGATGCCGCTTGGTGAGGGGAGAGCAGGGGTGTTCCACGAGAGTGCCGGCCGGGTGTCACCACAGAGCGGGCATGTTGGAAGTAGAACCACGATTGCCAGTATTGATCTGCTTCGGGCTCCTCTTCTCCAGGAATGGCTGGCATTTCCCGGGCCTGACTTTGCTTGCGTGGGACAAGCCCGCGAGGTGACTCGCTTTCGTTCGCGATGCCTTCATAAGAAGGTTAACCGTACGGAACTTGCAGTGACCATAGCAAGCAGTGTACAATGATCTCACGATGTTCATTCACACCGCTCTTTCCGTACCCCCATCGTCGTCTGCACGTACTATATCGTGCGTCAGGTAACACAACGCCTTCTTATACCTCTGTGACAGCCGAGAGACCAGCCCGTAGATGAGAGGCATGATGAGAGAACTCGTCCCTCGCAACGCCGGTCTTGGCTGAGTTGAGCTGTCACAAAACACTCGAATATTCCAAACATTAGGGACCTTCCGTAGCGGTTACCGTTGTGTCCAGCTGTTGGGGACATGCAGACCAGTTGAGGTTCGGTCTGAGTCTTACAATCGCCCCCAGTCTCTGATGGCAGCCTAGTAGAAACTGTAACCTAGCCTGACACGATACGAGCCATCAACCGTGTTGCCTCAAGGAAAATACCTGATTTTGAAGAGTGCCACAGGATCTTCCCTGAAATTCTTGCCAAAAGACTGACATGAAAGTGCCTAGTGCCGGTGTTGGTGTACATATAAAGGGGGGATGGAGCGGGAGCCCACACTTCCGGCCATCACATGGCCACTTGAACTGAGACCTCGACGTCTGCAACCACCGGCCGATGATCTGAGAGATAAACCCCCTCATCGAACCTGTTGGGAAGGATGCTGAAGCTCAGAAAACGAAGGCTGCCCAAGTCCCGTACAAACAAGAAATCTATTCTTGCCGGATGTTGGTTTGGATCGTCTCCGAAGGAGGTGAAGGTTATCTCCTCGTTCCCGTACTTTGCATCTGCCGGCAAGATATTAAAGATATCTTTCATTCCTATGCCCGGTTCGGTTAGTACCTTGTATGCTCGTCCAGTCGGAGTGCTGTTGAAGTCGCCACCGAAGAATACGGGAGCCGACAGGTCAAAGGCACCCTCTCCGCACCACGTTCTGGCAAGCTTGAGGAGAAGGTGGGCGCTTTGCTCGCGGGCAACCTCCCCTTCATGATCAAAGTGGGTACTCATGACCACCACAACTGCCCCAGTCCTCTTGTGGCGGAAGGAGCCGATAGTGACGACCCGCTCAAAAGCAGCATCCCATCCCTTCGAAGACACTTCAGGAGTTGGAGACAGCCAGTATGTCCTGCTGCGATCGCACTCCCAGTGATCTGCACGGAAGAAAATCGAAGAGTACTCCCCGGCTTCCTTCCCGTCCTCCCGCCCTTGACCGATACGTCCCCAAGAAGGCCCCAGCCGTGCTTGGATATCGGTGAGCTGAGAATGCAGGACTTCTTGGAGGCAGACGAATGGCGAGTCTTGCCCGGAGGTAATAACCTTAACTGTGCACACAGCCTTGGGCAGCGGACCGACCATGGCTCTTCCCCCGGGCGGGCCTTGGTATCAACCCGAATGTTCAACGTGACAAGGCGAAGAGAAAGTGATGCGAAGTTCGGGGTGGCCATGGCTGCGGCTTGGGGCGTGGAACACGCGTTTTCGGGTAAGGCGTGCGGTTAGCAGACCGATAGTAGTCGCTATCAGTCTAGTCTTGATGCGTCTGCCAAATAATCTTACGAGGCGGCAGCCAGTAGATACTCGAAACAGAGTTTAGCTGTTGGGGTTGAGGATTTCCTGCCTACGAGTAAAAGATACAGGTGTGCTTACGGATACAGGCTGCGGCACTTTGTACCTACCCGACGAGACAGAGCTGGCGGCTGCCAAGCAGCTGTGCATTGACGGCGGCGGCGCCAGCTGGGTAAAAAGAACGCGATTCCAAGTGTATGGAAATGCTCGATTCCTAGGTAGGAAAGAACGAGGGTGATCGGAAGCTTTTTTGCTCGATCCCATTCTACCCCCCCTGATTTCATTATTTGGACCCTTTTTCTCGATCTTTTCTCTCATCACTTTTCTATTTTCCTATACATGAATCTCCTTTTCTGTCCAGCCTTGTTTCTGCGCCCGAGTGTGGGCGGGCATAAACCTACTTTTTCGTCATCCTCAACCCCGCATCAAGATCATCTTCTCAACATGCCTTTCAAGGCCGCTAGTTGATCTTCGAGGGCTTCCTTCCCCGCCAACGAACATCCCGTTCTTCCAAACGGGCATCCTTCACCAACTTGAGAAAGAAGCCTCTTGGTGTTGAGCGGGGCTTGGCAAGCCTAACTACGTCATAAGCAAGGGTTTCCCTATCGGAGGGACTCGGCTTCGGGCTCACATGCACCATCATTTGACTGACCCCCAAACTCTGACAAAAGACAAGTCAGAATTTCCACTTTTGGCATGCCGCGTTTCGTAACACGGCCGCGCGATATGCAAATGGCTGAGGTATTAGTTCGCGCGGGGCGCGCCACTCATCAACAATCCTTGACATGCGCGAGTCGGCAGAGACGGCAGAGACGGCAGAGAAGCCTAGAAGCCCAAGCAAGAAAAAGATGGTGACAACGCGGTTGCCTTGCAGACGCGTAAAGTGCGTGCAGCAGCCCCTGTAAGTTTGCCGCTCTTGCTTTTTGACAGCCAGGATCGAGTTCGACGAGACCTGGGAGTTCCCCGACTCGTTGATAGCCTCGCATCTTTCTCGGTATTCCTCTTCACTCGCTCGATCTGCGATGTGAATCATTCCGGGGAAGAGGGTGTCGGGCAGCCTGGTCATCTGCCGTTCACGGACTTGGCGGCATACCATGCAGGTACGTCGTGAGTCCTTCATTTCTCGAGCAAAATGACTGGGCCGCTTCTCGGAAGATCGCCAAACCACAACCAAACCTGACCCTCCACCCACAAACCGCACTCTTTTTCAGCTCGGCGACCTCAGCTATCGACACTTATCGATGCTCATCGACACTCATCGACACACATGGATGAGAATCCGAAAAGATAGCGGCTGCTTCGGTCTCGGCCTCTCATTCCTAATGGGGCGGAGGATAGTCAGATGTCGGAGTTGGTGGTTTCCACTCTCGGTCTGGTCTCAGCTCAGCCTGCTGGCCTTGTCACGCGTCGAGTCAGAAGGCGGCATTCTGAAGTCAGAATTCCAAGAGACTCGTAATCGACTTCCGACTTTGCCGGGCCTTTCTTGATGTCGCTCCTCTTTTTGCAAGTATTTGCAGACACATTACCCCCCCCTTCGATTGCCCGTGATGCTCGCTTTCATTCCTTTCCTTGGAAGCGTCCTTACACCCGGGGCGCGGGGGCGCACCAGCGTACCATCACCGTTAGTCCACACCCACCCACACAGCCGCAAGTTGGAGGGAGGGCGCCTTGTATTGCCCCGCGAAATTCAGACCTGTCACCTTGCTTGACCGGTGACTTGCCAGGAAAGGTGACCGCGCCAGCCGTCCTTGAAGGTTGGTGGTGGGGAGCTAGCATCAGCAGCAATGTGCATGGTTTCCGAGTTCACTACATATCTGCGCGGCATGTCCGTCCTCAGCTGGCCACTTGCCCTCCTCTCTTCCCTTTCTGTCTTCTCATGTTCCACGGCATTAGTGGATACGCAATATCATAGCCCTCAACCATCGTTTCTGACAGGACATTTTTGAACCGGCAAGGCCGGTGACGGTTGTCTTCCTCTGGGTACCATTGAACAGCCTCATTTTCGGTGTTTCCTCCCACCGCCATTTACGGGAGGACCGAAACGTCTTCACCACCAAGGCGTCTTATTTTCCTTGATATTTCTCGCCTAGAAGTCCACAGGATGCCCGCCTCTAGGCCCTCCGCACAACACCTACCACGGGACTCGTGGCTGTCCAACCCAATGTTCCTCCAACCCAGTATCGAGCGAGACGATGGGGAGATTGAGGACCTCAACCTATCCAACATGGAGGAGGATCCCCTCATGTATTTCCTGACCCCTGCACCTTACTCTTGTTCCGGCGACGACGGCATGGACTTCGATATGGAGTTTGATGCCGGGATCGAGGACGCCAAACACCCAGCTCCCATCGTCAGGAGCGTGAGCCCATCAAGCCTAGAGGGGCTCAGCCGGCCGCCTCCACGGCCCCCGACACCGCCACGGTCACCAGCCACCCCCGACCTCGACTACGACCTGTCCGGCACACCGGACGAGTACGAACAGTACGATTACATGGAGAGCTCCTGGCCACCACGTCGCGGCAGCTCTATGAGCCTACCCCGCCGCCTCAAGGACAAATTCAAGGTCCACTACCCAAAACAGGATGTCGGCTACCCAGACAGCCTAGCCCCACCGCCGCCGCCGTCGCCGCACTCGCCCCGCACATCAAGCCGGGGCCGTGCGACGTCCCGTGCGGCGGGCGGCGGCCCGCAGCAGCAGCCCGGCAGCAGACGGACCCGCGCCGCGCCGGCCCGCCTCTCACCGCACGCGTGGCGCGAGCCGAGCCCGGACGTCTGGGCCATCGAGGAGGAGCCCGAGGCCGAACTATACACTGAGGGAGGGGATGGCAGTTTTCTGGGGAGTGGGCCGGTGGATATCCCGGCGGCGAACAAGCCGAAGGTGAGGTTTGTGTTGCCGGCGGCGGTGGTGGCGGTGAATGTTGGGGATGTTGGGGGTGCTGTGGATGGTCGTGGGGCCACGTATTAATTTGATGAGGCACATATCTCACTCATGTCTTGTCATATCATATCATACCGGAGTGGATTGCATGTTCTTGGAGTTTGAGAGCTTTGCATACATACATAACAAGGCGTTGAGTTGGAGTGAGCGGCGGTCTGGTCTCTTGTTTGACTTTTTTGTTTTGTTGGGGGTGGCCGCTTTGCTGGCTTGGGAAATTGGGTAATGGTTAGGTTAGGTGGTTAGGTAGTCTGATATTATGTAGGAGGGCATCTGCAGCAAGAAACTGTATCAAGTCTGGTACTTGATAAAACTTGGCCCCTGTCCCACTTCTGATCGTGCTGTAAACTTGACCAAGGGGCGATCACTTGAATACGGGATCGGACCAACTATTTGAGACGAGGGTCGTATCTAGCAATTCTGACTTCAGACTGAACTGGAGCTTGGATCAAAGTCTCATGGTTGAGGACACTGTTTGACTGTGTTGTAGATTTGAAGGTGCATCTGCAATATTCGTCCAGTTGGCTGCGTCCATAAACGCATTGACAAGTTCCTGCATACGTTCCCACAGAAACCGCTGCGATGACCTGCATGTAATACGTGTTGTTCTTGTTGGTGATCTCCTCGGATCAAGCTACACCGTTGTGTCGCCCGGTTTCTCTGCCAGAAAAACTTGCAAGATTCGGTATAATGAATATCCCTTCAGTTATAACCGATCGTTCTGGAACCCTTCGAACCTCTCTGTCACCTTGCGGCAAAGCCTGCCATTCATATGTATATATATATATCCCCCCCGGCCCGTGTGGAGCTTCCTTCCGCAGCCAGGGGTTCCGTTCCCGATGCCGCTCTGAGCGCTCCCGAGAATCTCCACTCGAGATCCGGGCGGTGATGATGTCAGGGGCCACGCTCGAGCCACGCTGTCAACCGTCTGGCCAGACGTGTGGAGAAGATGGCTGGGATTGCTCCAAGGGTCTGTCCGATGCGGTGAGGAAGATCGGAAAGCTCAACGGCGAGATTCAGATAGCCTCATGAGCTTTCTGTCCGGTGAGGCCGACACTTCTGTTTCATATAGGTCGTCGGTGTGATCGCCATAGTGGAAGCAATTGCAACCCTCAGCCAACAAATACCGCGATGCGCAAAAGCCGAAGTGGCTGCGCCGATGCGCACTTGTGAGCTGCTCGGGGTGTCGGTGACTTGCGCAGCTGACGGCTTTGGTGGTTGCCGCACCTGCCCCGCTGTTGCATGCTGGATGCGGAAGCCTGGGCTGGCCGTCCGACGCTCATTGGCCCGGACTCCCTGGTCTCTGCATCGTGGGCTTCGGGCCAAGGAAAGCAAAAAGTGTGGCAGGGGGGGTGGGGCATCCAAGCATCCCTCCCTCGATTTGTTTACCTTCGATGGCTGCTGCGGCCAATGTTTATCGTCATTGGACGGGACAGCGGGAAAGCTTGCGGCGCTGTCTTCGAGGGAGGAAGCGCCCGTTTCACTCGGTTTTCCGACAAGAAGCACAAGCGGCGCGGGTTTTGAATTCTTTCTTCCCAACGGACTGCGCAAAATCCTGAGGAAGACGGCTTCGGTCTCATTGACAGTTTGCCGGGTCGGGTTGTGTTGCGCAGCACAGCTGATGGGTGCTTGCTTCTAGCGGAGCTTTCTGCAGCGGCCCGTTGAGCCAACCCATTTCAAGCTTTTGGCAAGAGTGCCGCAGGCCTTCTCATCTCTTTCCACCTTCTTTCCTCTGCGCAACGTCATTCTCATTTTCTGTCAAATTTAAGACGGTAGTGTGCTCATGATCCAGCTCAATTCACCAAAATCACCAGCGATATCGTCCCATCCCCGGCAGAGAGCGGACAGATCCGATCTGGAGCGCAGATCGTCGGCAGTTATGCGGTTCACCGAGGTGACCTAGGTGGGTTGGTCCCGTTTCCCTGGTTATTGTTTGTTGATTATTCCCCCCAAACGTCAGCCCCCGAGCCCAGGCACTCTGCACCCGATTGGCAGCTGCGCTCTCCGCTCGGGGTCTCGACGGTGGATTCTTCTTCGATCAACAAGAAAAACTTCTGAAATTTCACGTCATGTCACAACTTGCTACACCACTAGGCTTGAGGAATGCAGGTTGCTGACCGGGTCCCTCGTCCTCTCCTTTTCTTAGAATCATGTCACCGCCGACACAAGACGAACCACAGCCGGTAGATCCACAAACACCACAGCGCAACTCGACCGCCAAATATGCCAATGCGGCAACACCAACAAATAAACGGGCTTCGGCCCCGATCGCTGCCACCCCGAAGAGCGCACCAGCCGCCGCCGGCAATGCCTCGGCTAACAAGAAAAAGGTCGAGCCTAGCCTTTTGGGCGACTTCTTCCTCGGCCGTCAATCACCGGCCCGCGTTGTTGCTCAGCGGGAGGCTATGAAACAGCGGCGGAAAAGCATGGCGGCAGATGCGGCCAACGTGCGGGAGGAATTGCGTCAGGAGATGCGCGCGGCCGCCGTGCGGAGGATACAGCAACCCGGGGGTGTGACGGACAGGGTGAAGGCATGGCAGAAGGGAAATGCGGCTGCCATGAAGCAGCAAGGGGGTGTGATGCCGGAACCGGACGACCTCGCCAGCGTACCAACCGAGGTTGGCGCACATGTTCCCGCCGAGAGCGTAACGGAATCGGACCGGCTGCGCATCAGGATGAGGCAGAAATCGAAAAAGAAGAAGCCCAATTCTGATAAGGCCGAGGATAAGGAGAACCAGGATGCTGTGGCCAGCGACGAAACAGAACGAGAGAAGCCAACCCTCGCCACATCGGGGACATCGGCCAGCAAACCACCCGTGGTGGTCAAGCTGGCGCCGAAAAAAAGGATTGTCAGTGACGATAACTGGATGAAGCAGAGGAAGGGCAAGAGCTCACCTCGAGACCGCTCGGCAAAACCAAAAGCTGAGCCGACCTCGACGCCAATGCCAATACCCAAGGACTTCTTGCAACGAACAGCGAAGAATCCCACGGTGCAAAACAAAATCAAAGATTGGGCCCAGAAGGGTGGAAATCCCTGAACCTCCTCCGCCACCCAAGGTGAAGCAATATCGTCACAGGAAATCTGGCGCGACGTTGACCGTCGAGGAAGACGCCCCGAGCGTAATCGCATCCGACCCGGGGATAAGACCTACGCAAAAGCCCCCGGTCGATGACGGCATCCGAGTCAACCCGGTGAGGATGAAGCCGGGAAAACCGAAACCTGACACCGAAGACGGCATTCGGATACCTCCCGTCCGGAAGAAGGAGCCCCTTGATGATGGCATTCGGGTGCGGCCTATCGAGACCAAGCTGCCAGACGACGGGATCCGTGTTCGGCCGATTGACAGCCCGCTCACAGCCGACGGTATTCGAGTCCGACCAGGCCCCGATGTGTCCGCCGACGACACACCTGTACGCCCTGCTTCCTCCGGGCCCACTCCGGCAGCAAGAAGCAGCAAGGCGCCAAGCGCACAACGCGCCCCGTCCCCAGGTTCAGATGATGTGATCGAGGTCATCGAGGATCCGGAGACCGAGGTTGAGACACCCACCAAGAAAAAAGCCCCTCGGCGGCGACGCTCAAAGCGGCGAAACCGTAGTCCCAATTTGCGGACCGTGGAACCTCCGGAGGATCGACCCTCTGAGTCTGAGACCGCGCGCCAAATTCCTTCACCAGTAGGCTCTGATGGCGAGTCTGATTTGGTACCTCCTACAGTTCTGGGGAACAAGTCACTAGCAGATATTCCTTTTGGGTACTCGGCGTTCAGTGAGCTTGACTTACCCCTGGGTGCCGATGCACGCAACAGCACCGTCAAAAGGCCCAAAGCTCAACAACGAAACCCGAGCTTTAAAGCGATGCCCAAGGTTTTTAAGAAGGTCGTAACGGGCGCCAAGGACATCATTCAAGAGATGGCTGAGCCTCCGCGGCCCGTCGCGACCAACAAACCGCAGAGCATTGAATCTTGGCTGAACGGCACGGTTGATCCATTTGTGGAACCCAGTGCCAGTTCGCCAGTTTCGCAAGAACCCACCCACAAGGAGCCGGCCCCAAAGGAACCTGCTCGCAAAGAGCCCGTTCCTCAGGACTCTTCCCATAAGGCGCCAGCCCCCCAAGAAGCCGCCCGCAAGGCTTCGGTTTCTCAGGAATCCGCTCGCAAAGCGCCAGTTTCCAAAGAACCCACACGAAATGTGCCAGCTCCCAAGGAACCCACACGAAATGTGCCAGCCCCCAAGGAACCCACGCGAAGCGCGCCAGCCCTCAAGGAGCCCACACGGAACGCGCTGGCCGAGGACAGGAAACCCACTCCCGAATCACCGGGGGCAGCGCTGGAGAGTCATAAGCGGTCGACATCAAGGCCCTCGTCGAGGCCGCCCTCGAGGCAGGCATCCGAGGACCGATCCAGAGAGACGGCTGACTCCACTCTCACGAAGAGCTCCGGTTCTCAGGACAATACAGAGTCGCAAAGAGAGGAAGATAGCGATGCGACGCCCAAAAAGGCCAAGTCCCCCCCTGCTTCATCGGCTGGGCTCAAGAGGAGACGGGCAACCAGGGGAGCTGCGCCTCCAGCAAAAACGGGCGGTAAAAAGCCGTTCCGGGAGCTACTGAAGGAAGCATTCCGGGGCGAGTCTGCCGGACATAAGCTCCCGCCCACAGTGTACCCCAGCTGCGAAACCGATGACGAGAGCGACCACGAAGGAGATGATTATGAGTCGACAATCAGGAGCAAGGGGCCTGCTGCATCTGATTACTCGTCCGGTTATTATTCATCCACCTACGATTCCATGCTTTCGTCTGACCTTTCGAGCCAAGAGGCTCAACGAAGGAAACCCCCAACAACCGGCGTTCATGAGCTATCAACAATCGTGTCGGAAGAGGTCGGCAGCACGATCAGCTCGGACGCACACTCTGATGTTTCTCACACTACCGTCACCCAGACGACGGCGTTCACAAAGTCAACCGATATTTCGAGGCAGAAGAGCCAGAAGTCAGGCCTCAAGCGCCGTCTCACAAAACACTCGGACTTTGTGTCGGTTCTTTCATTGCCGGATAACGGCCAACTGGTCGCGCCCAGGCGTTCCAAGAGCATCAAATCGTCACATAGCCTTCACCGTAGGCCGAGTAGAGCGAACAAGAGCAGAACCGATGAACTGCTGGATGAATTTGCGGATGATGAGCATTTCTACGGAAGAGAGCTGAAAGCTCTGGTTGACGGTGTGGTCCCAGTGCTGCTAAGAGATGTCATGAACGGTGGTGTTGGCGAAGCGAAGGCGGATGCCACGGTCAAGTCGGTGGTTGGTATGGGCATGGCGCTTGAGAAGTTGAGGAACTTCCACAAACAAGTGCCCCTCGATGACATCTCGGAGTTGCTCTTCTGGCTCGAGGATGTCTCGCCAGTTTACGATAGCTACCTGGACGTCTGGAGGCTTGGCTTCCAGGGGCTGATCATCAACCTTGCGCCAAGAAACGGCATGTTTGATGATGAGGACTCACTCCTGAACGCGCTTCCTCTGAATGAGGATGGCGATGTCGTTGGGGAAAATGGGGAGCGGGTTGATGTTGCGTTCCTTCTGAAGCGGCCGTTAATCAGGGTCAAGTGGATGGTCAAGTTCCTCAAGGTGAGTTTTTACTCTGCTATCCCCGCCGAAAACAGCAATGCTAACATTCAGTCTGAAGGCTGCCGTGGCAATTACTGAAACCCGTGACGCTGAGCGGCTGTTGTCAGTCTTTACGGCCCTCCAGGAGAAGGCTCGCAAGCGGCACCGAGAGGAGACCGCTCGCATGATGGACGAGGACGCGAACAACACAGACACCTCACGGTGTCGCGATCTTCGAAATCTGCTGTCTCTTGACGGCATAATCATGAACCGAACGCGCCAAGTCGCCGCGCTAGACGTCTTCTCCCTTGACTTGGAGCATTCAAGCGGCCAGCGGCTAGGTTGCCAAGTTGAGATGATCTTTAGGGATAGCCCGGCGCTTCCCGAAGACAAGGGCGACATTCTCATTAGGGAACTTGGCAACAATACCCGCTCATGGCTACTATTCCCACCGGTCCCCAGACAATACATTTCCGCCCGACTGGGCGACGATGACGACTCCCTAATCGTCATGATACGCGGCAGCCATAACGGGAACGATTGGTATGAGCTTCTGAAGATCTCAACAAATAGTGAGGAGCAGATCGATTACTGGCTCCGCGTTCTGGGAAGCCATCCCATGCCGCCTCTAACCCGAAGCAGGCCAGCCAGCATGGTGCTGGGATCAACATCGCCGAAGACAGGCGCAACAGATGTTCCCGTCGGCGAGCGTAAAGTAAGCGTGTCAAGCTTAGGGTCGTCCGACACGGAGAGACCTACGACGCCATCCCGGCACCGCAGAGGACAGCATGGCGGTTCTGCGCCGCCGGCTGCAACCGGTTATGCTTACCCTGACATGGCCGCTAAGGAGAACTACACTCTAGACCGCCCAGAGCAAAGCACAAGGCGGTCTTCCTGGGACCACTCTTCGGCAGATGTGCCGAAGATCGTGAAAGCACCTCCCAACACAACACCATACCGGGAGGATGGGGCTCCTCCCCCACCCATCCACCGCAATCTCAGCTCAAAGAGCACCGGTCTGCTCGCTCCTCCTGTAGAGTCCCGCCGACGGACTCGTCTGAAGCGCCGGATGTCCTCCCCGTTGAAACATGAATACACTCCTTCGGATGTGTCATCTGACAGCTCTTGCACTGCGAGCGACGACGAATCCGACTCGTCAGAAACATCCGGCGGCGACGACCTCGACGAGGATGAAGTGCCCGATACCATCCCCGGATACAGCATCAAGGAACCCGAGGTGGCTCCAGCTGCATCGGTTATTTCAGACAACAGTGTCACACCCTCTCACTCGGCGTCCCAAATGGAGCTCGCGGTCGGAAATGATTCGCGACCGGAGAGGCCGGTGACAAAGTATGTCGGGACCGTTTCGTACTGGTCTGCCCGGAAGGGCATCTGGAAAGACGTCAATGACGGCCAGCCGGCTTCCATCGTTATCCACCCGGGGTGTATGGAGGTGCATCCCCTTAGCGAACAACACTCCAACCGACAAGCATACCCCCTGCAATCGTCGGGCACATCCGAAGTAGACAACAGCAACAAGGATGCTGGAACTATCGTACCGCTTATTACCCTAATCTTGACTCCGGTGGTTATGATCCGCCGCAGCACAGCGCTCGACCTCGAGGTCCGCAGCCCAGCGTCCCCCGAGGCACGGCTGAAGATTGAAGCCAGCATGTTCCGTTTCCGTACTGTCAACCAGGCCGATGCCAGAGACCTCTACGAGTCTGTCCACAACAGCCGCCTGAACAATGCTCGATACATCCAGCTCAGCGAAGAGGCTCGCTTCCAATCATTCGGGCAGATGCAACCCGTACCCGGCGACGGCAGCGCGGGCGATGAAGGCTCCAGCCAACGACGCAGCTGGTTCGGCCGCAAGAACAGCTACCGCGCATCCACCCGCGCACCCAGCGTCTCCCAGGGCAGCATTTCGACGACTATTTCCGCCACTAGCTTCCTCCGACGCCTCATGGGCGGCGGAAACAACAATTCCTACAACATCGACGAATCCACGCTTGACAAGCCACGGCCTCACTCAGCAGCGGCAGCGTCAGGGGGTGGCAGCCTCTACACCTCAGGATCCGGCTCCGGGGGATCCGGGTCGGGCTCCATCACCCCTCCCCGCAGCGCATCCATCTCGCTCTCCAACTCGGGCAGCCAAAGCCGTTGGAGCTCCGGCTTCGCCAAGCCCTTCTCGCCGGACCAGCCGCTCGAGATCCGCTGCCACCTCAACGTGCAAAACAACCGTTGGCTCGACAAGGGCGACTGCGTCCTACACATCAGCCGCCCGCCACCGGGGGTGCGTCAAGAGCTGCCCCTGTACAACGGCCTCGAGAAGCGTGTCATTGTCACGCACGCGACCAAGAAGAACGCGGACCGGCCGCTCATCCTGTTGGATGCCGTCCTGGGCTCCAAATGCTTCAGCTTGCTGGGTAGCAAGGGTGTCATGTGCAGCGTGTGGGAGAACCTGAGGGATGAGGAGGGCAATGTTGGGGTGGCCCCGAGGAATGGGGCGATCGCTGGTAAGGTTACCAAGTGGTGCTTCCAGTGTAAGAGTATGCAGCAGGCCGGGTGGATCATGCAGTTGTTGACTACCGAGGTGCCGGGGCTGATGATGGGTTGAAGACAGGAGGGGGGTTAACTCATTCTTTCCGTTTTTTTTTTTTATGTTTTTCCCTTTGTCTTTTTTTCTGCTCTCCATTGTTTTCCTTTATTGGGGGGGTTGGGATGGCGAGGGAGAAATGGAAAGGGACAGGGATGGTCGTGAGACATTGGGGGAGTTGTGGTCAGCTTTTTGGGGGAGTTTGTTTTGGCGGGAAGCCGGTCGGTAACATCATCATGCTGCATGGAGCTGGGGCTTTGGATTCGGTATTCTCCTTGCTTGTCTTTCACCACACATTCGACTTGGTTGGGGTGTCTCATTTGTCAATTGCCCATACTATACCCATATTGGCGATAGAGTTGCTTCCGAGGTTGCATAGCGTATCATTTTTGTTGTTTTCTGCTAGAACCATTCAACGCTAAGAAATAATATTTTGTGAATTTAGAAATATGAAGAAGAAGAGGGTTGAGTGTTGTTAATTGCAATAACTATGACGTTTTGAGCTTTTGTCATCAGTGGCTGCGATCGGATGATGACAACAATTGGCCGAGGGCGACCTGTCTGACATCGATAACATCATACAGGTGGAGCAGAACTTGGTACAACGATACCATGATAACCAATAGATAGTCGCCCCAGAAAAGCACCCCTGTCTGTTAGAACAAAGCTGCCAAATCTGGATGCAACGACGCGTTCGCTTTGCGCGCCCTGTTCTCATTCTTCCAGCCCCAGAACCACTTCTTCCTGTCAACCTCACCGACATCGCCCACATTAAATTTGGAATCAACCAAGACCTTTCCCTTCAATTTCAATTCGCATAACATCGCGCAGCTCGAAATTCACGCCATTCCCGCACCTTGTCAGTTGTTCTGCGTTGCGACAGCGCAACCGCCCTTGCCATGGCCGACTACAACTCCATGAAGGTTCCCGAGCTGAAGAAGCTGCTCGGTGAACGGAGCCTTCCTTACACCGGCAACAAGGCCGACCTTATCGCCCGCCTCACAGAGAACGACAAACAGAAGGCTGCTGAAAGCACGGCGCCACAAGCTGGTAAGCTCTAATCACCTCCCTTGACCGCTCGCATGTCTTATGCGACTTTTGTCGCACGGCCCCATTGTTCCGCATACGGGAAAGCGTCCCCAGCGCAACAATGGTCGAGGACATCGGCCGATCGCCTCGAGATATAATTGTTATCCCAAGATCCAAATGCACGATGAAAACACCTGCTGACTATAACTTGTCGCTAGACTCCGCGCAGCCTGCTGCCGAAGACGAAATTGACTACGAGGACGACGACCTCCCATCAACCAAGAAGGATGCCGTAGCAGAGAAGCCCGCTGCTGCGCCTGCCGCCACGGAGACAAAGCCCGCCACCTCAACGGCAGCTCCCACCACGACGAACGAGGCTGCCACCACCACCACCGAAGAGGCCAAGACAACCGAAGCCGCGGCGCCCGCCGAGGGCAGCACAGCCGAGGAGGCGGCAGCGGCGGCGGCCAAGCCGGCCTTCACGCAGAACCTGCCGCCGACGAACGCGCAGTCCGAGGCCGAGAAGCGCGCCGCGCGCGCCGCCCGCTTCGGCATCACTCCCGCCGCTGCTGCTGCTGGCGAGGGCGAGAGCAAAATCGAGGAGTCCGAGGAGGCCAAGCTGGCGGCGCGCGTCGCCCGCTTCGGCGTGGCTAATGACCGCGTCTCGGCGCTCGACAGCGCGCTGCCCGACCGCCCTCGCAAGCGCGGCCGTGGTGCCGCTGGCGCTGAGGGGGCTGAGGGTGCTACTGCTGCTTCTTCTGCTGAGAAGGACGAAGGTGGGCGCGGCAGCAAGCGCGCGAACCGTGGTGGTGCGGGTGCTGGTGGGAGGAATCAGCAGCAACAGCAGCAGCAGCAGAGGCGTGGCGGGAGGGGCCACCGTGGGAGGCAAGGTGGTGGTGGTGGTGGTGGTGGTGGAAAGGGTGGAAACGCGCAGAAGGGTGGGGATAAGGGCGCGGCGCGGACCATAGACCCGGCTAATTATTAAACATTGGTTTATGAACATTTCTCGTATTCACGGTACTTCTGTCTATATATTTGATAGGTTATGTTTATATTATTACTATACTTTTTAATTCTATATCACA